CAACTTCCGGAAACTGAGAGACCCCGCACTTCTCTTCCGGAAACCCGGGGAGTTAGAATCACTCTTCCAGAAACCCCGCACACCCCCCTTCCGGAAACTCAGAGACCCTGCACTTTTCTTCTGGAAACCGCAGACACGCTCTTCCGGAAAGCAGGGGTCCCAGACACCCCCTCAAGATACGTAGGTGGGGCCGCCCTGGGGGTAGAGCTGCAGTAGATGCTGGCCTGCCCTGGGGGTAGAGCTGCAGTGGAGGCTGGACCGGAGCAGGTGTGTGGCGCTCCACTTCTCAGGCGTGATTTGTGTTATGCCCAGTTAAGTAGCTCCCCAGGAAGCCATCAGCGACCAGATCACACTTTTAAATGCAAAGGCAAGGTTTATTTTAAAAGTACAAGACATGGCAGGAATTCATCTGACCAGCCGACGCAACAGAGGTCAGAAAAAGGCCCCGGCCTTTGTTTAGGAGCACTTTTAAAGGAAAAAACCACAGGGTTACATCAGCCGGGGCTTACAGCACGGGGCTTTTGGTGATTGGACGGGGCTGTTCTGAGTTTTTCTTATTCGAGGGGGGGGGTCTCCGTTTGGCTTGGATTCAGGGAGTTACCTCATTTGGTAATCTCTACTGAGCTGCCTTTGGTCTGCTGAGCTGTCCTTGGTAAGCTTTGATATCCCTGGAATGCCTGAATGCCTGCTTTTACAAGGACTCAGGTCTGCTATGGGAAATGGAGGCTGCTTTTTATTTAATTTTCTGTACATGGAGTCACTTTGGCTCTTCAGGTTGCACGTAGACTTCCTTGCACGCGGAAAGTGCTGGGGAGGAAGGGTGAGGCTCCCTTGGGAACCAGGTGCCCCAGATCCGCAGCAGCAGCCACGCTCGTAGATCCTCTGGGTCCCTGCTGGGCTGTGCTGGGGACAGCTCTTTTCTCCCATCTTCTGCGTAGTGACCCATCACCCAGTCCTGTCACACAGCTTCCCAGGGCGGGGCGTCCTTGAAAGTCTTTGTCCATGTTCCTCAAAACTGTCATCAAGGTCATCACCAATCTGGGAATCACAGGGCCTAAAGAGACAGAGAGAACCAGAGGTAGTGTGAGATCCTGGCGAAGATAAAGGATTAGGTTCCGACACAGGAATAAATAAACCATGGACTAGTTGAGCTAAGGGAGCTGGGAAGAAATGTGCCATATTAACCTACAATGCTAACAGGGAGCTGGGTGAAGGGTCTATAGCAACTCCATGTGGTAACTTCTCATTTGTTCCCTAAAGCCATTCTCGAAGTCTATTAAAAATCAGGTAAAATTCCCACATGAGGGCTGAAGACCCTGGCTGTCTCCTCACCCAGCACCACCAACTCTAGGGCAACACTGGGGGCTGCCCAGGTGACGCTCCTTCTGTCAATACTGGTAACACCCTGGGGTGTTGTATCCTGTGAATCCGTGCTACGTTGCCACTGGTAACACCGTGCATTGTTGCATCTGTGGGAGTCCTCCCTATGTAGGCACTGGTAACACCGTGTATTGTTGTATCTGTGGGAGTCCTCCCTATGTCGGCACTGGTAACACCGTGTATTGTTGTATCTGTGGGAGTCCTCCCTATGTCGGCACTGGTAACACCCTGCAGTGTTGTATTCATGGGAGTCCTCACCCTGTCAGCACTGGTAACACCCTGCAGTGTTGTATCCATGGGAGTCCTGATGAATCAGCCTCCTTCTGCAACCCCAGTTCCTTCTCCACCACCTCGTGTGTGGCTTCCCAAGATCTCCAGTTGGTACAAGGAAGATACAGGGGTTTCCTGGCACAGGATCTTCACACTCCCACTCCAGGCAATCACAGAACCTAGTCCGGCAGATATGATAGGAATAGGAAAACCCCTTGGAAGAAAATACAGCCTAGAGTTTGGTGGACTAGCAGAGAGAAACCATTTGTTCCCATTCTCGGGGAATGGGAGGGGCAGAAATAAATTTAGATGAGAGGCCTATCATTAGTTTATTTTAAAATACTTATAATTTTGTTTGAAAGAGGAAGAGAAAGAGGGAGAGATCTGTTGTTTGCTGGTTCACCACCCAAATGCTGGTAATAGCCAGAGCTGCTCTAGGTTGTCAGGAGCCTGGAGCTGCAGCCAATCTCCCTCCTGGGGGCAGGAACCAAGCATTGAGCCACTGCCTGTCTCCTAGGTGTGCAGTAATGGAAGCCACCTCAGAGGTAGATCTGGACCTAACCCAGGCACTGTGCTGTGGGATTCAGGCATCCCAAGCAGTGACTTAACTGCTGTCCCAACTCCCACCCTATAATTCTGTTGGAAAACAGTGTTAGGCCAGGGCCGCAGCTCACTAGGCTAATCCTCCACCTGCGGCACCAGAACCCCGAGTTCTAGTCCTGTTTGGGGTGCCAGATTCTGTCCTGGTTGCTCCTCTTCCAGTCCAGCTCTCTGCTGAGGTCCAGGAAGGTATTGGAGGATGGCCCAAGTCCTCAGGCCCTGCACCCACATGGGAGACCAGGAGGAAGCACCTGGCTTCTGACTTCAGATCGGCGCAGCCCGCCGGCCGTAGCAACCATGAATGAAGTGAACCAACGGAAGGAAGACCTTTCTCTCTGTCTCTCTCTCTCTCTATCTAACTCTGCCTGTCAAAAAAATGTGTTAATGAAACCCAGTCATTTGTGGAGAAATGGGTGGGACCGGAGAACATGAAGTGAAATACGCCTTCCCAGGAATCCAATGTAAGTTCTCTCTTCTATGCGGAAGTTGGAAAAGTTGATCTTGTAGCAGCACAGTAGGATGGTGATCAATAATGCATCAAAGGGTCTTGTGGGAGAGATGGAGGGAGGTTTGGTCCACAGGTCCCAAAGTGTAATCATATAGAAGGAACGGCTCTAGTCTGCACAGCACAAGGAGGCAACTGTTGCTCACATAACCTGTTGTGTGTGTGTGTGTGTGTGTGTGACAGGTAGAGTTATAGACAGTGAGAGAGACAGAGAGAAAGGTTTTCCTTCCTTTGGTTCACTCTCCTAATGGCCGCTACAGCCAGTGCTGAGCTGATTCAAAGCGAGGAGCTGGGTACTTCTTTCCGGTCTCCCATGTAAACGCCGGGACCCAAGCACTTGGATCAAAAACTGTTGCCACCCAGGCCACAGCAGAGAGTGGACTGGAAGAGGAACAACCTGGACTACTACCCGGAGCCCCAACTGGGACTAGAAACCGTGGGGCCGGTGCCACTGGCGGAGGATTAACCAAGTGAGCCACAGCACCAGCCCTGTTGAGTGTTTTAATAAACAACTCGACAAGAGGGGCTGGGGGCCTCAAACACAAGACATGACCAGATGGGAACACCCTGGTGAGGTGAGCACACCTTCGAATTCCACACTGCGCCTCCTAAATTATTATGTGTTCATTTAAAGGGAAAAATAGGTGGCAAAAATGTTTTTGCTAATTGTGTCTTCCTTCTTAATCGAGCTGAAATTCACATAGCACAGATTACAGACCTGACAGAAATTTAATTCATGCTGTAGCTACCTCTCACGTTCACTGTGTTGTGTACCCACCAGCCCCTGTCACAAACATCTTCATTAGCAGAGACAGAAACCCCAGACCCACTCAGCAGGAGCCTGCACGCTCCCTCCCCACACCCGAGTCCACGTTCTGCCCTCTGAATCTGCACCCCTGGGCACCTCTCAGAGCAGAATCCGACCATGGTGTCTGTGACACCGGCTGATTTCTGTATTGTCATATCTTCAGGGTTTCTCCACGATTATCCAGACGCTCCTTCTTTTCTAACAGGAGAGTGTCAGCCGTGTCTACAAACACCGCCTGTTGTGGACGCACTCACCTGTTGTGCTTCTTCTGGTTGCTGGCATCTTTGGGCTCATGTGAATGAGGCTGCTCTGAACCCGTGGATGCAACACCTGCTTGGGTTCCTGCTTCAATCCCTGTGGTTATATGTGCAGGAGAGGAACTGTTGGATTGTAAGGTAGTTCCAAGAAACAAAGTTTTCCTTCTTTATTGTGCTGAAATTCAAATAACATAAAACCAGCCCTTTAAAGTGTATAGATTGCTGACTTTTAGTACATTCACAATATGTACAACTTTACTTTAAAAAAAAATCATTTGTTTGAAAGAGTTACAGAGCTAAATAGAGACCAAGACAGAAAGAGAGAGAAAGTCTTCCATCTGCTGGTTCACTCCCCAGATGGATGGACCTCGCCCACCCTGAAATCCGATTTCGCTCGTTTATTCTGTTACTTGGCGCAAGCTCCGTGTTCTAGGCTGGAAACGCGGATTCCCACGCATGCGCACTGGGAACTGCATTCATCAGAAACAGAGTAAAAGGCTCCCTGAGGGCGGAGCAAAGCGGGAGGCGGGTGCGGGTCCACATGCGGCCTGAAGGTGGCGCTGTCCCACCGGAGAGCCAGGCAGGACAGGGCACAGCCACAGGGCAGAAGTCCACAGCTGAATAAAGAGCCCCTGATGCCCCCAGACAGCTCTCAGCACCCACACCGTGGGGGACGGTTCCCCACTGTGCCCGCAGAATCTCCTCGTCCCTGCCACTTAGGTCGTGGCTTCTCTGACCGGCGCTGTCCTCTCCAGAACACCACCGGCCTGCAGCCCGGGTCCTCTTGTGGCTGTACCAAGCCTCCGCCAGCAGAAGCCTGAGGCTCAGCAGGACCAAGCCCGCCACGCCCATGCGGATGAGGTTCTCCAGGGTGTGGTCCTGGGGCGCTGGGGCTGGGGGGGGTGCACGGAGGGGTCACCTAGGCTGGCCAGACCAAGTAACACAGGACCCCACCTCCCCACAGCTGCCTGAGCCCTGGGTCAGGCCTGTAGCTGACTCACCAGTGGGGGAGCGTGGCTGGGGGTGCGAGGGGCTGCTGGGCTCCGGTCCCCCTGAGAACAGGGATGGGATGGTGAGGAGGAGGAGACCCCGCCCTCCCCAAGGACTCAGCACTGAGGACCCGGGCCCTCGGGCTGAAGTCCACTGCTGTTCTAAGTCCCTGGTGAACTACCCTAGGTCCCCTCCCCACCCAGCCCTCTCCTGTAGGCAGCCCTGCACCGACCAGGATGACCAAGGACACAGGGCTGGGGCCCTCACCTGACACCTCGAGCTGCAGGGGGTCACTGCGCCATGACCACAGGTAGGGGTCGGTGCTGGGGGTGCCATAGCACCTGTAGGTGGCCCCGTGGGCCGAGGTCACAGGACCCAGCGTGAAGGTGGCCTGAGCAGCCATGGCCGAACCCGGGACATGCAGGCGCTGGGGAGGGGCGTCTGAGCCCACTTTGTGCAGGAGAAAGGTGTCCATCGCCTCCTCAGAGCCACAGCGCAGGGCCACCATCACTCCCTAGGACACCTTGGTCCCCGGCTGGGCCTGCAGGGAGGTTTCCTGTACATTCCTGGGAGAGAGGACGGCGTGTGGAGGGAGCATCCCGCAGCCGGCAGGGTGTGCAGGTGTTCACCACTCCCGCGGGGTCAGCGTTCCTGCAACTCCCGCCCCACCCAGGCTCCATGGACACCGGGCCCCTCAGCTGTGACCTGAAACTCCAGGGGCTCACTGGGCAGTGACCACACATGGGGCTGGCTGCTGTGAGCGCGGTAGCACCTGTAGATGCCCCCATGGCTGCTGCCCACAGGGCCCAGGAGGAAGGTGGCCTGCCACACCCCAGCCACATGGGAGAACCAGGCTTCCAGGCTGTGCAGGGGGCCGGCTCCGCCCTCCTTCAGCAGATGGACAGTGCGGGCATCATCATACTCTGAGCGACAGGAGAGGGACACGTTCCCTCCTGATGCCACCACGAGGCTTGGCTGGGCTGACAGGGAGGGTGCCGGGAACATCCCTGCAGGGGAGGGCAGAGGCATGTCGGGGGGGGTGCCGCCCCATGTACCCCACTTGGCTTCTTTCTGTGAGCTGGAGCCTCTCTGGGCAGGGACACCCCCTTACCTGTCAGCACCAGGGTCAGGGGGTCACTGGGCTGGGAGAGGCCGAGCGGGTCCAATACACACACCAGTACTGCCCTGTGTCTTGGGAGCTCATGGACATGGTGATGGGGAAGTCAGCCTTGTGTCTTGAGTCCTACTGAGTCCGCATTTCCCAGGGCAGTGGGTTGCCCTCTTTATACACATGATACACCTCAGCCTGCAGAGACCCCTGGCACCAGAGGGTCACAGCGCTCCCCACGGCGACCAGGGGGCCTGGGTCGGCCCAGATGGAGGGCTTGGGGAGGGTCCCTGGAAGGGAATCAGAGCTGCAGATCCCAGGTGCCGCCCCTTCCACCACCCCATTCCCCAGCTGCAATCCCAGCCCCTCCCAGCCATCACCATCAGCCCAACCCACTGGGTTCCTTAACCCCTAGCTGCCTGGGCCCCTGGGGCTGAGCCAGGTCAGGGGAGGACTAACCCGCCTGTGCCTTATCCCCTGGCGTCGGCAAAGCCCTGGAAGAGAGTCCCCGTGAGAGCTGCTCCCCACTCCCCACCCCTGCAGAGACGCCCAGGCCTGCCCTGGTCCTCTGAGTCCTGGGGTCAGAGCTGGGGCATGGCACTCTCCCCTCCACACCTGTGAGGGGTCCCATTGTCCCCGTGTCCCCGGCTCACCCAGGCAGAGGAGGGCAGTGAGGGCTGGGGTCTGAGCCCCGCCACCCATGGTACCGTGGAGCAGAGCAGCTGTGAGGGGCGCAGGCCCAGAGCCCGGCTGGAGATGAGCGGGGAGACGTCAGGGGTTCCTCACCTGCGGCCTCACAGGAAGGGAGCAGCCCCTCCCCGACCTCCCCTGCTGTCCCTGAGGACGGAGCCCAGGACACAGCGGGCTCTGGGGACAGCTAGGACCAGGCCTCCGCCTCCGCTGCCCCCTGTGCTGTGCCTGCTTGGCTTCCCTCCCCCGCTCCAACCCCACCCAGGGGGTGCCCCTCGTGGGCCGTGCCCAGGAGCTGCCCGGTTAGGGTTCTGGTTCTCCCTGCACAGGCCGGGTGGCCGAGGCAGGCACTTCCCCTTCCTGACTGCTGAGTGCAGGTGTGGGGGCTGGATCCCGTGAGGTGGGTGACAGCAACAGGAGCAGATGAAGAAGGCAGACGTTGCCGAGGTGTAGCTGAGCTGCAGCCCAGCTGTGCCTGTGGCAGGTGCAGGAGAACACACAAAAGAGGACAGGGGCCCTGGGGTGAGGTCCTGCCTTATGCCGCCTGGCCTGGGTCCCAGTGAGGGGCTTGAGGAGGGGAGGGCACCTTGTGGGGCAGAGAACCCGAGCTCCCTTGGAAACTGAGAGCATGGGGGTGTCATAGCCCCAGGCCCGCCGGGGTCCCATGCCTCACACCCTGTGCTGGGATATTCTGAAGGAAGGGGACTGGGAGCAGGGGACTGGGCCTGTTTGCAGATCCACACTCTGTGTGAGGCTCAGGGTCCCCATCACTTGTGTCCTAAGCCCCTCACCTGATCTGAGCACCTGGGCTCCGTGCTCCTGGATGACATGGGGGTGACGCTTCCTGAGCGACCTGAACAGGTGATGTCATCCCCCAGCGTCTCTGTGGTGGGGGGATGCCCGAGACCTCCCCTCTCTGGGTGGCCCTGGCCACAGCACTCCGGTCTCAGGGTCCTGCAGTGTCCCTTCCAGATTCAGACGTGGGGACTGCACCGTTCTGGTAGGTACCGCTCCTCAGAAGTCCCTACGAGTGCCCGCCGTCCCCAGAGTGAATCAGAAGGGGTCCCGGGTCCCAGACAGAATGGAAGACCCCATCCTCAGCCATGTTTGGGGGTGGAGGGCAGAGGGCAGGCTCTCAGCTGCCTGCACTGGGGTGGGGGCCCCATGAGAGAACGCACGGTGGCTCGTCATAGCCTCGGGTGTAAAGGCACTGACAGGCATCTGTCCTTTCCTTAGCCTACATCAGGTTGAGAGGACGTCCCCCTCCCAGAAACAGGAGCTGGCACAGCGTGCACTCAGTGGCATTCACAGTAAAGCTGCAGAAATGGAACGACCCACACAGCTTCGCCTCAGGAGGAAGCTGGCACCATGCAGCCTCCAGCCCCGCCCGCCCCAGGGCTCTGTGGGCTCCCAGCCCTGGGTGTTTCTGGGAACGGTGCTATGCGGGGCCCTTTGTGTGTGGCTGCACCTCCTGCCTCACGCATCCTCACTTCATGGCTTCCTGGGGCTCTGCAGAGTTCCCACAGAGCCAGGGACCCACCTCCCTGAGCCCCGCATCCCCGGTGCACATCTGGCTCCTGTCCCTGGCTGGCCGTGCTTGGACAGATGCCTGTGTGCACCATCCCTGGATGGGTATTCAGAGCTTCCCCCTGGGCCCTCGGCTGTGAGAACGCTCCACAGAGCCTGCACTCAGCACACTGGTGAGCGCTGCACCTGACCCTGAACCTTGCCAGCATGTGGGGTCCATGGGAGTGCCTGACTCCATGTAGGGGGTGGGCTGTTCTGTGCTGTGCCTACACTGGGTCAGGTGCTTTGAGGAACTACGAGCTTCTTGCCGCAGTGGCTGCACCCTGCACATTCCAGCTGCGTCTCAGGGCTGCAAATTTCCCCACACCCTGACCACATTCTGCCTGCTTTGTCTTCGAGAAGTGACCAGTGTGGTGGGTGTCGGGGGTGCCTCTCTGTGGCATTATTTTCACTTCCGTGCCCTTGTGATGAGTGAGCTGCACCCTTGCTTTTCCTGTTGTGGCTTCCAGATCTTTACACCATGTGTTCGTTGTCTTTCTGTTCCCTTGATAGCCGTCCATGGTGCACAGTTCTGCAGTTTTGGGGATGATCAATTCAGCCACTTTCTCCTTTGTTCCTTGTACTTTTGCCAACAACAAAGATGCTGTGATGAAGTCTGAGGTCATATTTACCCAGGTATTTCCTTCTAGGAATGTTTAAAAAAATTTTTCAGAGACTGATTTATTTGAGAGGGAGAGACATAGAGAGGAGAGACAGCGACAGATTTCCCACCTGCTGGCTCACTCTCAGGCTGAAGCCAGAAGCCGGGAGCTTCTTCTGGGTCTCCCACGTGGGTGCAGGGACCCAAGCATTTGGGTCATATTCTACTGCTTTCCCAGGCACATTAGCAGGGACCTGGATCAGAAGTGTAGCTGCTGAGATTCGAACTGGAGGCCATAATGATGCCGGTGCTGCAGGTGTTGGCTTTACTCCCTAAGCTACGCTGTGGTGGGGTGCAGTCCCCAGCCCCTTAACTGGAAACTCGGGAGAAGCATCCAGACACACGCTTAATCCCGCCTCACGGAACTGTGTGGGAAATGCAGACTTGCAGAGTAATCAGCCATCAGAGGAAGCCGGGCAGGCATCCGCACTCTTCCAGAACACCGGGTGCTGCCGTCCACCAGAGCCAACCGTGTTGTGGGGTTTATGTTAGGCGAGCACTGAGAAATCCAGGTGACCTTGAACTTTCTGTGCCGGAAGAAACCCTGCACACACTTTCAGTCTTTCACTTCTGAGTGGTCCTCTTGGAAGGTGGAGTCCCACGTTCATCTCGGATTTTACCTTAGAGTTTGATGAGCCACAAGTTTTTTAAAATATTTATTTGAAAGTCAGAGTTACAGAGAGAAGGATTGAGAGAGGTATCCATCTGCTGGTTCAGTCCCAATGGGCCCTCACAGCCAGAGCTTGGCTGATCCCCAGCCAGGAGCCAGGTGCTTCTTCTGAGTCCCCCAGATGGATGCAGGGGCTTAAGCACTTGGGCCATCTTCTGCTGCTTTCCAAGGCCATAGCAGAGAGCTTGATTGGAAGTGGAGCAGCCAGGACTCGAACTGGTACCCACAGGGGATGCTGGCACCTCAGGCGGCAGCTTTTATGCATAACGCCACAGTGCCGGCCCGGATCCATTAACTGTGACCTCCCACATGTGAGCCCATGTGTCATCGCCTCCTCTGGTGAGTGCAATTTAGAATCCATCTTGAGTGACTGGTGTCCCGCCCATGTCCTGGCACAATTGCTAAAGGTCAAGGGGAGCGAATCCTGGTGTCACCACCCTCTAGGTGGGCTCCTGTGGACACTCAGGGCCACTGAGCTGTGTGCGGTCCCTGGAGAGGAACAGCACAGAACCGCACGGGAGCCTGCAGGGCGGTGGGCAGGGCTGCGGGAGGCTGGAGCCCCTTCCCAGAATGCGCATGGCAGCCCGGGGAAGCAGCACAGACAGTGGCCCACCAGGGTTCCTGCCCCTGAGCAGGATTCCTGCAACCCCAGGTGAGCTCCGCCCACTTCCCAAGGCTTCTCACCGCCCATGCCCGGCCTCCCCCCTCCCCCGGGGCACAGCCTCACTGACCCAGCGCTGTCCTCTCTCCAGGTCATCGCTGGCCTGCGGCTCCGGTCCTTCTCTGGCTGTACCAAGCCTCCGCCAGCAGAAGCCCGAGGCCCAGCAGGACCAAGCCCGGCACGCCCATGGGGATGAGGTTCTCCAGGGTGTGGTCCTGGGTGCTGGGGCTGGGGGTGTGCACGGAGGGGTCACCTAGGCCCCTCCAGCCTCAGTCACCCAGGACCCCACCTCCCCGCAGCTGCCTGAGCCCTGGGTCAGGCCTGTAGCTGACTCACTAGCTGGGGAGCCTGGCTGGGGGTGCGAGGGGCTGCTGGGCTCCGGTCCCCCTGAGAACATGGAGAGGACTGTGAGAAAGAGGAGACCCCGGCCCTGCACCGGACTCCGTACTTCCATGCCCCCATGTCTCGCGACCCAACTCAGCATGGCCCTCTAATGAGCCGCCTCCACGTCACCCTGTCCGGCTGCCCTGTGCTGCTGGGTCACCAAGTGAGCCCCATAGGGGCCGGGCCACGCAGCACCCACAGCCTGGTGAGCTCTCCCTACAGCAGCAGGTCCAGGGCCCACACTGCGCCATGGCCTGTGCCCGCTGTGCCCGAGCAGTCTCTGTCCTGGTCTAGAGGTCCACTGAACCCCAGCGGTGTCAGTGAGGCCTGTCCTGGGTGGGGTCCTGTCCAGTGCTGCATCTACTGCGGCCCCTGTGGGAGCCTGGCCCAGTGCTGCGGGGCAGGGCGCTGGGCAGACCCCGAGTCCTGTGTGACTCCGTCAGACCCTCTGCAGGAACCACCGAGGGCCCTGCTGGGTCAGGAGGGAAGAGGGGCGGGGCTGCACCCTGGCTCCGCCCACACACTTCTCCCTCCTGCCCTGCAGTCCCACCTCCCTCACTCTGGGTGTCTGGCTCAGGAGCCCAGGCCCCGCACCCAATTCCCATCTATGCCTCCTCTCAGCGTCCCCGTGACCTACCCAGCTCCTGCTCAGGTGTGGCTTCCTCACTGTCACCCCAGCTCCAGGGCGGCACTGGGCTCTGAGCAGCCAGCAGCGCTGAGGCAGACACAGCGGTAGCGCCCCCCGTACACCTCGGCCATGAGAGGGTGGAGAACTTGACCTTGTTTCCGGGCTCCAGGGGCATCGCTCTGTCCCAGGGCTCTGGGATTCCCTCTCTATACAGACGGCACTCCTGGGCCTCCAGGGTCCCCAACACCACAGGGTCCCAGGCCTGCCCAGGGCGATCACAGAGCCTGGCTCAGCCCGGAGGCTGGGTCTGGGGAGGGTCCCTGGAAGGAAACCAGAGGCTGGGTCCCAGGACCACGTCCCCTCACAGGCCAGGACCCTCCCAGACGCCCTCCTCACCAGGCAGGGCTGCTGTCCCCACCCCAGCTGCCCGGGGTGGCCATTGTCCAATGGGAAGGGGGGACCCGGCAGAGTGGGGGCAGGCTCACCTGCCTGCACTCGGGTCCTGGGGCCCGCACAGCCCTGGAGGAGAGCTCCCCGTGAGAGGGTTGCCCCTGCACCTGTGCCCGTCCTCTCCTTCCTGGGGCTCCTGAGCCTGGGGTCTCCAGGGAGCAGGGCCTGGCTGTGGGCAGGGCATTGCTGGGGTGGGGGTCCGGGCCCCTCCCTGCGTCCCTCCCAGAGCAGGGTCTCCCCTCCCCGTCTTCCCGTCTCCCCCAGGCAGAGCAGGACCACGAGGGCGGGGGTCATGGCGTCCTCTCCGCCGGCCCAGGCACAGCGCCCGCGGCATGGACACACACCGGGTGTGGACGCTCGGAGGCCGGGTCCTCCCAGCATCGCAGGGCTATTCCGCCTGCAGACCACAGGAAGGGGCACCGCACCCACCCCAGCCAGGCTCTCAGTCCCCAGGATGGGGGCACAGGCGCCCTGCAGGGATGGGGGCCCCGCCCCGCCCTGTCAGCCGGCTCCGCCCTCCTCTCCCAGGGCCAGGACCCAGCACCAAGGACACGGGCCTCCCGGAGCCGCCCCTCAGGTGGGCTGATGCGCCCCGGGGTGGGGCCGTCCCCGCCCTCAGCCCCTCCTGTGGGGTCGCAGCCCGGCCACTTCCGGAGGACGCAGGTGGGCACAGACCCGCTCCCGCCCGGCCCGGAGGTCCCGGGGCCCGACCCAGGGCGGGGGAGGCCCGGACGCCCCCTCCGCCGCGGACGCCGCTCCCACGCCCCTCAGCCACAGCTTCCCCTGACCCGACCACCCCGCTGCGGGGCCCTGAGGCCTCCCAGGACCTGCGCCGCCCCCTCCCTGCCGCCTGCCCTGACTCCCGGGGGAGGCGCCCTCACTGCGTCCCCTCACACACCCCTCTGCCCTGAGCCTCAGCTTCCCCGTGTGGGCGGACACGGACTCACCTGAGGCGGCCTCGCGCAGACGCACACCGACTCTGGACTGCGCATGCGCACGTCGACTGGGGATTGCGCAGGCGCACACCGCCACTGGCCTCAGGGACAGCCTGACACGTGACTGTACATGCGCACAAGACAGGACTGCGCATGCGTATGATGACACGCTACCGCGCAGACCAACGCCGACATGCTGCGCTCACACGTCACTGAGGGGCTGCGTGCTGCTTTCCGCTGTCTCCCTAGAGGAAGAGTGCGGGTCCTTGTAGGAAACGTGAGCCCTGACTGCTGCTCTGTGCGGCCCTGCAAGTCCTCGCCAGAGCAGGTGGGCGAGAAGAAGCCACAGAAGCGTCCGAATTGGGAAGGAAGAAGCCATGTCGGCTCTCTTGGCTGATGACGCCAACTTACCTAAGACTACCTCTTTTTGCTGATGACGTCATCTTACCTAAAGACAACCCAACGTCTCAACCAGAAACTTCCCTCACTGGTCACCGTCAGGTCGCAGGATCGCGGTCCACACACGAACTCCCGTCAGCGCTCCAAGGGAGATCCACACAGCTCCACTTAGCAGAGCCCAGACCTCCAGCAGCCTGGAGTGAAACAAAACTCATGATTTACATGGAACCACAAAAGCCCAAATATAAACCACCCTGAGACTAAAGCCCCAAGCCGAGGTATCTCGCAGTCTGATTCAAGACACACGACACAGCTGTGGTGTCCACACAGCATGGCAACAAATACGAACACACGGGGACACTGGGACAGCAGAGAGAACGCAGACGGACGGTCACTGTTACAGTCTACTGGTTTCTACAAGGGCATCGGGAACGCACACTGGGGAAGGAGAGGACCTGCGGTGTGCTTTGAAAACTGTTTCCATCTGCAGAAGACGGAATGACAGCCCTGTCCATCGTGTGTGCAAAAGTCATGGCATTTTTATTGTTAGCCACCAAGGATGAATACATGTTTGAGGACTTAGATACGCTCCCTCTGGTCCGCATACAGACGTGGGTCAAAACATGACACGTATAAGTAATATTGGGTCACTTAAATATCTTTAGGTCTTACCACAATCATTTTAAATTATGTGAAAGAGAACTACGTGAAACCTGAGATAATGAAACTCCTTTTAGAAAACAGAGGGGAACCCCGTGACGGCGTCTGGGCAGTGATTAGTTGGCTGTGGCTACAGGAGCACAGACAACAGAAGCAAAATCCCACGGGTGGAGGAGGTCAATGCGGGGCAGCTGCTGGCGATGCTGGCATCCCAGTCAGAGTGCTGGCTTCCGGCCTGGCTGCCTCGCTTCAGACCCAGCGTCCTGCTGATGGGCCTGGGAAGGGAGCAGGAGACAGCATAGACTCGGGCCCTGGCACCCGCGAGGGAAGCAGGATGGAGCGCCAGGCCCCTGGCTGAGCATGCGCTGTTGCAGCCTTTTGGGGGGCTGAGTCATAGAAGGAGGATTCCTTCCCCTTTCTCTCTGCCTTCATATAAATGAATGATAGATTTAAAAATTGGAATAATTTCAATTAAAACCTGCTTCAGAGCAAAGGAACAGTCAGGAGAAGCAGAGGGAGACCCAGAGTGTGGAGAAAATATTCGCAGGTCACACAGCTGTTAAGGGGTTCACCTCAAAATACAGAAGGAATTCAGCAACTCATGCCAAGAAACAGGCTGCGCATGGGGGCAGTGGGCAAAGGACTTGCACTGACGTTCCGGAGAGAAGATGTGATGACTGACAGGTGGATGCAGAATCTCCCAGACAAAACAGCTTTGTCTGTGTCTGATGAGCTGTGACTTCTGATAATGTATTGAACGCCATCGATTCTTTAGTATCAAGTGACCGGTGCCTGCCTTCACCACCAACAACCAACCATTGTGGTCATGACGCCTGCATTCCCCTCTCCGTATAGGAACCAGAACTCTTTGTGAACATTTTCTTGGGAGTCTAAGTTTACGGGAGCATCCATCCCAGGATTTCCCCATCTGACTGTTTCCGTCTCCGGTTTTGATAGCACTTTCTCCTTGCCTGATAAAACGTTCCTTTTTCCTGTCCTTGGGAATAGTGTATGTAAATTTGGGAGTGTGTGGGCAGCATTTGTATGTGTGTTTCCTACCTGCATAAATATGTGTGAGGAATTCCCATGAAGCTTTGCAGCCTGGCGTTTAGACTGAGGGAGAACGTTGGATTCCCGAGTCACGGCATTGTCAGGTGTCAGGGCACGTTTTGGTCAGCCACAGTCGCCTGTACGCCGGCGCTCCCAACGTTCTAATGAAGCTGACAGCTGCCGACCTCATGGTACTGTTGCTGCGCGGCTTCTGTGTGCAGAGTCCTAGATACGCAGGTCTGCACCACTGCAGGAGGATGCCCAGCCCCCGGTGGATATTCTCATAGGAATACAGCAGCGAGCTCTGCCGTTCCCAGTCCAGGATTGAACGGCGGAGTTCAGAGCCCAGAGTGAAGTAGGCGCCATCATGCAGGTGTGTGCCGGGACTCCTTGATGTCCCGTGACCAGACTCACCCAGCACAGGGTTCCTAGAGCCGAGTCCCACCAGTACAGGATATGTGGATGGATTTACTGCAACTTCCTATTACCATGAGTTCGGTTCCTTCTATTTATTTGCTAAAGATTTATTTATCTCTATATTTGAAAGGCAGAGTTACCGGGGTGGGGGCTGGGGATGTGATCATGCATCCACTGGTCCACTCCACAGAGGGCTGCAGTGGTTATGGGATGCTGGCACTTCAGGACAGGGTGTTAAACTGCTGTGCCACAGCGCTGGCCCCTTCAATGAATTTTATACTAAGAACAACTCTATACTAAGTAAATATTTCAACAATTTGCACACACACACACACACAGTGTGGAAAACTAGTTTTACAGTTAATTCTTATAATACAACCTATTAAGATCAGAGGTCCTACATGGGGAGTTAGTGCACAGTGTTTCCTGTTGTTGATTTAACAATTAACACTCTTATGTATGACGTCAGTGATCATCCGGGGCTGTTGACATGAGCTGTCTTGGCTATGAGAGCCTTTTGGAGGCCAGCGCTGTGGCATAGTGGGTTAGGCTGCTGCCTGCAGTGCCAGCATTCCATATAGGCGTCAGTTTGAGTCCCGGCTTCTCCACTTCCGATCCAGCTCTCTGCCATGGCATGGGAAAGCAGTAGAAGATGGCCCAAGTCCTTGGGCCCTGCACCTGCATGGGAGACCCAGAAGAAGCTCCTGGCTCTTGGCTTCGGATCAGTGCAGCTCCAGCCATTTTAGCCAATTGGGAAGTGAACCAGTGGATGGAAGACCTCTCGCTCTCTCTGCTTCTCCTTCTATATCCGTGTAACTCTGACTTTCAAATAAATAAATAATCTTTTTTTTTTTAAAGAAAGCCTTTTGAGTCCGCAAACTGTCTGTATTTAGACAGGGCCATGAGCAAAGTGGGAGAGCTCTCCTCCCTTCAGAGAAAGGCACATCCTTCTTTGATGGCGCATTCTTTCCACCGGGATCTCACCCACAGAGATCCTTCATGTAGGTCATTTTTTGCTTCATTGTCAGTTCTCAGAACCTTGCGGTGTTCACTCCTCCTGTGATGGCCTGCGTCCCTGAGGTCACCCTGTAACTGCCAGACAGGTTTTCAGCTGCTGCACACAAAGAACAGGTCCTGCTACAGAGGGGAGAGGGAATAGATGGGCATCTCATGCAGAGAACAGCTCCTGCTACAGAGGGGAGAGGGACTGGATGGGCATCTCTCACGCAGAGAACAGCTCCTGCTACAGAGGGGAGAGGGACCAGACGGGCATCTCTCATGGAGAGAACAGACCCTGCTACAGAGGGGAGCGGGACTGGACGGGCATCTCTCACACAGAATCAAGCAGCCACAGGGAGGGAGAGGATGCCAGCACTAGGGGAGCCACTGAATCCCACCCTACCGCTACTGTGGGCGAGGGCATGTGTGCCAGCATGAGTGCGGAGGAGAGGGAAGCCTCGGGCGCTGCAGAGGGGACATGGGATGGCGCAGCTGCTTCGGGAAAGAGCTTGCAGCTTCCTGCAAGAATTTAAGTGGGACCACGCTCGGACTCCCCAGTCCCATTCTGGGCGCTGAGATCAAGGGGCTGGCGCTGGATGCAGCAGGTGAAGCTGCCGCCTACGATACCAGCATCCTGTACCAGAGCTCGGGGAGGGGTCCTGGCTGCTCCACTTCCAGTGCAACTGACTGGAAGCCAGGAGCTTCTTCCGGGTCTCCTGTGTGGGTGCAGGAGCCCCAGCACTTGGGCCATCCTCTGCTGCTTCCCCCAGCTGCATAGCAGGGAGCTGGACTGCAGGCAGAGAGGCTGAGACTCCTACTGGTGCTGCACTGTGGGGCGCTGGTATCACAGCTGGTGGCTTTAACCTGGGCCACGACCCCGTCTCCAGGCCCCACATTCTTTAACCACTCAAGGCTCATAAAGCTACCGCCCAGGAACACTCCCCAGGAGGGTTCAGGCTAATCCCAAACAAGCAAGGCCTAGACAGCACGCCCCACGGTGGCTCCACGCTGGCCATTCACTCCCCAGGGGCTGACTGTGTCTCCGCCCTCATCCCAACATGCAGGTCACAGGTGCAAAGTGACCGGATCCTGTGAGCAGGAGGAGGGAGTGCCGGTGGCCTTGGCCAGGGCAGCCTGCTCCTCCTCACTCTGTGTAGATGAGAGAGGCTCAGAGCAGACGGTTCTGAGGACACGGCCACGAACCTGAGATGCAGCTCTCCTGCTGCGCCCTGAGCTCGGAGAAGCACGCAGCCTCCAGGGAGTGGGTGAGGCCCAGCCCTGCGTGGCCACCAGACTGAGAGGAGGGCGATACAGGTGCAAATGGGCGGGGAGCTTGGCGGGCAGGCCAATGGGGGGTCACTGTGGATGCGGGCCTAGTTCCTGGCTTCCTGCTTGCCCATCGGGAGGGTCCTGAGCTTGGGGGGCTTGTGGGGCGGTGCTGTCCTCCAGCACCCACGTGCGCGCCTGTCCACAGCCCGGAGTGCCCCCGAGCCCTGGGCTGGATTTCCCAGGCGCTTCCTGCGGTGGGTGCGTTGTGACCACCCCAGCCTCTGTGCCCTCTCGGAGGTCGGGGCTGGAAGGTCCACGCGCGAGCAAGGAGGGCCCAGCGTGCCGTGGCTCCTCAGGCTTTGCAGACCCCGCCGTCAACCTCTCCCGCATGGGAGACGAGGAGACGGCCTCTCCCCCGCCTACTCTGGAGCTGTCCTAGACCCGAGAGCAGACGCCACCCGGTGAGCGAAAGGTTCCTCCCAGCGCCTCTGAAACCACAGGGTGCGGGAGACAGAGTCACTGAGAGCCGAGCGCCCATTGGCTACCTCTCACCATGGCCGCATATACCCACAATACCCCGGGCGGCCTGGGGGGTGGGGTTGTACCTCAGCCCCACCCCGAACTAGGAAGGCTTTGTCTGAGGGCAGGCCAGGTGCTGTCAGCAGGTCTCATAGCAACGGCTGAGCCCACCTCCTGTTAAAGATGGGACGAGCTCATTTGGCCCCTGAGCAGGAAGTCCTGCCCCCTCCTGCGTCCTGGGAGCCAATCACAGAGCTCAGGGGAAGTCCACTTCCTTTGGCCCAACCATGCACAGGCCGGAAGTCAATCCTAACCCGAAGGAAGTTTGTCTTCTAAGTTGAGCGTGGTTGGTGTTGGGTGTTTCTGGGCGTCCATGTTCGCTCTGGGGCTTCTAAGAGGGTTTTCTGGATCTTGGAACAGAACTGCCTTTGTAAGCGCCGGTTAGGAGAGGAGGCTGCCAGCGGCTCTATGCAATGTTCTTTCCCTTCTAATATTTTCTAAGGAGCTTCATTAAATATAACTTATATCCCATAGAACCTACCCTGCACAGTGCTGACCCACAGAGCAGGTCCGCCACCTGTCAGCATCCCTTGGGCCCCCCGTGGAGACCTGCCCACCCCACCCCAGTGATTTGGGAGGAGGGGCTGCCCTCGCTCAGCCTCGCGCTGCCGGAGGCACTCAGGTGCCAGTCATGGAGGCTAAGGCTGGGCCGCACGGCTCACAGTTTATCGTCTGGTGTCCAGCACCACCCATGTACCTGCAGACACAGCCTGGGGCCACTGCAGAGCCACCTGCTGCTGCCGCTCCGTGTGGCAGGGCCAGAACCCGCCGCCTCCAGCTGGGCCTTTGCCCTTCACTCTGGGTGGGATCAGCCCCGAGGTCGTGCTCAGAGAGAATGGCCTTGGCCAGAGGGAGGGTCCTCTCAGGGAGGGCCCTCTGTGCTCCCTGCTGCCATGGCTCCCTGCACGCAAAGGCCTGGCAGTGGGAACCGGAAGCATCTGACCCTGTGAGCACCGGAGGTTAATTAAAACCCCCCACCAGCGATCATATCCGGGTGATGGGGAGGCACAGGGACGGAGGACTCAGTGGCTGTCCACGGGGCGGCTCTGGGGCAGACCAGGAAACCAGTGCTCCCCAGATCCTGTGCCCACGGCTTGTCTTTGCAAGACCGAAAGAAGCCTTTGGAATCTGGAGCAAAGCAGCATACGGGCCGGGACGCTTCGGGTCCATGGGCTCAGCAGGGGTGGTCTTTGCCACCTGTGGGACACCGGGTGGTGCTTGGGGATGCTTGTGGGCTGCTGCTCCCCACGCCTCAGTGCACAGAAGGCCCTGGCCAAAACCACACCACACGGAAGGTTCCAGAAACCCTGTTACAAAATGTGACAGTGGTCCTCAACCAGGGACACTTCTGCTCCCTAGGGGGTCACTGTTGGAGACAGGTTTTGTGGCAAAACAGAACAGGAGATTCGCCACACTCAGGGCTTCAAGGTGAACAGAGGGACACCAGGCTTCACAGCACAGCTGCACCACCCCCGCCCACTCTGAGAGCGTCTGCATCCAGCACAGGAGCCCCCCTCCCCAAGCGGCCCATCTGCCCCCACCCTCACCCCCACCCTCTGAGTCTGCCAGTCTCTCTGTCACTAGGGATTCAACCAGTGAGATTGCACCTGGGGCAGTCTGACCACACCCACATCGGTGAGACCTCTCCCACACAGGTCGGTGACAACCCAACCATATCGGGGAGACCCCACCAAGATAGTGAGACCCCACCTGGGATGGTGAAACCCCACCCACTATAGTGAGACCTTCCCACCCACATCAGTGAACCCCACCTAGGGTAGTTAGACCCCACCCAGGTCAGTGGGACCCCACGCACTATGGTGAGACCCCTCCCACCAGGTCAGTGACACCAAACCTATAACAGTAGGACCCCAGCCAGGACGGTGAGACCCCACTCACGTTGGTGGGACCATACCACTGTCGGTGAGACCCAGCCGGGGTGGGAGAAGCTCCGGCACTTGGGCTGTGCCAGGGCTACAGACTCCAGGGCCACCAGGTAACTCCCTTCCCCACCTCATTGGGCATAAAGGGCCTTGGAGGACGGGTTTGGGGTCCTGAGCTAGGGTCTCAGCATGAGGGGAGGAGGGAGGCCCCGGATTCAGGGAGTCCCAGGGTCCATCCCTCATCCTGGGTGATCATCACTTGACTTCCAGGGTAGCAGCTAAACGAGCCTCTGTCCATCACACAGCCTGTGGCACTCGGGTACAGCGGCAGGAAAGAGACTGGGGTCCACCCCGCAGGCCAAGGGAGGGAGAGATCAGGACATAGCGCATGACAGGAAGCAGCACTGAAGCGACCTCAAATAGTTCACGGAAACCTAAACTGCATTTGTGAGTGTGCGTGAAGTCTCAGCCGCAGCCTTGCTATGGAGGACAGGGCTGTTTGCTTTGTCAGGGGAGACCAGGGTGGGGCAGCGGTGGCTGAGCAGGTGCACACGCCAGGAGCGGATCTGCCTCAGCAGGCCGTCACCTCCACCCCCACCCCCCAATCCGTGCAGGTGACCCCCACTCTGCAGCACAGCCCAGACTTCCCAGTCCATGCTGGCCTGGGCATGCGGCCGGCTCCCTCCCGGGTCCTCCATCTGCAGAGCCAGTCTTCAGCCAGGAGCCACATCAGAGCCACCAGGACCAGGACAGCCAGGCCGATCCGCAGGAGGTTCTGGGCGGTGTGATCCCAGGCGGCTGGGGCTGGAGCAGAGGGGCCGCTGATGGGATGCAGCACTGCACCCACCCGCTCCTCTCCCCTCACCTCCCAGACCTTCCTCCTGCCCCCACCCCACGGGAGCCCGGCTACTCACCGTCCTGGACTCTGGACACTGTGGTTCCGAGACGGGGTTCCCGAGAGCCTGCTGTGGGAAGGGAGGGTCGGCTTTGGCTTCCGCCTACCCAGGCTCTCCATCCTCAGCGCAGCTCCGCCACACCCCGCGGCTGTCCAAGTCTCCACCCCATGCCTCACAGGGGTCCCAGCGGCCTCACCCCGCGGGCAGGGGCCCCAGGACCCAGGCAGAAGCTGGCGTTGCACTATTGCACATGCGTCTCCATGCCTCGCACCCCGACGGGGGCTCTGCGCCCCCTCACGCGGGTCTTTCTCCACACACGGCATCAAATCCAAAGCCTGGCACTCCCCTGGGTGTCCTGAGCCAGCCCACTGCCCAACAGCCTCCAGGCCAACCCTTGTCACCGGGTCCCCTTCCTGACTTCCGGCACTGCTGGGTCGCCCCCTCTCTTTCTGGAAATCTCTTCGTTCTGAGAACCAATCGACTAACGGGCTCCGTCGGCCAGTGTTCACCCAGATGTCTCCTGCGTGTGCCCAGCCAGGCGGCCCTGCTTAGCCCTCCAGGGTCCCCCTTCCAGGTCACCACTGCTCCTTGTGTGCGATGCCAGGGGGCTTCTAAAACTTCACAGGACAGGGAGTTAAAAGAGAAGTTTATGGGGCCAGCACTGTGGTGTAATGGGCTAAAGCCTCCCCATATAGCACCAGCACCCCATATGGGCACCGGTTCGAGTCCTCGCTGCTCCACTTCTCTCCAGCTCCCTGCTAATGTGCCTGGGAAAGCAGCAGAAGATGGCCCAGTCCTTTTACCCCTGCACTTTCCATGAGCTCTCTGAACTGCCCTCATATAACACATTTCTCTCTCCTGACATCTCTCATGGACGCTCCATCCACTTCAGCCAGGACGCTTGTGCCCCAGAGACCAGGAGGTTTTTCTGGTTGATGGGCACAGCTGTATGGGTTGCCCGTCCCTTATCCAAAATGCTAGGGACCGGAAGTACTCCAGATGGGCTTGTCCTGGGATTTGGAATATTCCCATACACACAGTGAGGTCTCCTGGAGACTGCGCCCATGTCTTAAACACAAGATTCCCTGCGTGTCACGGGCCCCGGGGACACAAGCTCTGGGTAACTTCTCATCTTGTCCCAGTGCACCTGTGTTCTGCATATGGACCAGCATGAGAGGGAGGGTGCAGGTTTCACTGCTGGCGGCTTGTGGGCACTGAACACCACCACACCCGGGGCACCTGCACTGCACTGTGCAGGCGGGGAAGCCCACGGCATCCACGGGCACACACAGGAAGGCTCCAGCTCTCCTGAGCGTGGAGGAGCAACCTACTCACTGGGAGCAGGAGTGGGGTCTGTGGGTTCCAGGCTGGGGTCTCCCACATCTGGAGACAGTTGAAGAGGACAGGTCGGGGCTGGGGGCTTCCTCTGCTCCCTCCATTCTCCTTCCCTGGCCCCCTGTGGTGGACGTCCCTTCGACAGGACCCTGGGGTTTCTTTAGGAGCCCAGGGAGGACCTGGGAACTGGGGGCTTCCTCACCTGTGACCAGGAGCTTCACGGGCTCACTGGGGAAGGACCACACATGGCCGCTATATGCGCCAAAACACCTGTATGTGCCCGTGTGTGCCGAGGTCACAGGGCCCATGGGGAACTCCGCTGGCACCGCCCTGTGGCTGCCCTGTGTGTGGCTGGGCCAGCCTTCCTGGAGCAGGAAGAAGGTGTTGGTCACCGTCTCTAGCTGGCAGTAGAAGATCACATTCTCTCCTGAGGTAACCTTGGGCACTGGTTGAACCCATAGGGTGGGCGTGTCGTACATTCCTGCACAAGAAGGTGGCCAGTGTCTTCCTGCCTCCCAGGCTCCACCCCTGCAACCTCAGACCCTTCTCCTCCCCCCACACCTGCCCCAGCCACAGACGCGCCCTCCCCAGCCGTGCTCCCTGGTGGATCCGCTCAGTGCCAGGAGTGAGGATCAGACTCTCTGGGAGCCGCTGTCCACAGGGGGTTCCCAGAGATTGGCCGCTAGGACCACAATGCCAGCACGGCCTGGGGCATCCGATGGCCAGGGGCCACCTCAGAGCCACCAGTCAGAGACTCGGGTGGGGCAGCCATTTGCTTATGTTTTTTTGGGGGAAACATACATAACATAGAATTCAGCATCTTAACAGCTTTAATCTTCGCCCCGTGTCTCAACTTCTTTTGCAAGCTCAGCCCGTTCCCTCGCATGTGGTGCAGCCCACGTTTGCCACGCCTTCCCCAGGGGACATTCGGCGGCTTGCAGCTCTCGGCCCTTCTGATCCAGGCTGCGGTGACTCGGGGCCAAAGCTCTCTGTGTTTGTCACGAGCCCTCCTGCAGATCCTACCAAGTGCTTCAGTTGAGACACAGGTCCCCAGCTGTAGGGAGCGCCGTGACCCGGACACCTTCCCTCCGTGGGAGCGGCCCTCCCACAGGACAAGCCTCTCTTTCTGCCCGGCCTGCTTCTCTCGCCTGTCCCAGGGACCCGGGTGCCGTCCTCGGTAGGAGTCCTGCACCTATGCCCTGCTGGGCTTCCCTCTCCTACAGGCTCCTCCCAGAGGAAGCAGCCCCCGTTCTGACACCTGCAGAGCGTGTCCGGATGGGGCCGCCACCTGCCCCCCACCACTGCATGGCAGCGGGTAGACTCACCGGTGACCACCAGATCCAGGGGCTCGCTGGGCTCCGACCAGAGCTCCCCACTGCGGCAGAAGCAGCGGTAGCGCCCTGCAGTGCGCGAGGTCATGGCCGCGATGGGGAACCGGACTCCGCCCCTTGCTCCGGGTTGCTCAGGTCTCCCCCAGGCAGAGAGGCCCCCCTTGGAGCGCAGCTGGTACTCCTCGGCCCTGGGGGGCCCCTGGCACCAGATGGCTGCCGGCTTCCCCTCTGGAATCCTGGAGTCGGGCTCTGCCCAGATGCTGGGCCTGGTCAGGGCCTCTGGAAGGGAATCAGAACCTAGGTTTCCAGAAAGACCCCACCCCAGCCCCCTCCCCCGGCAACAGCCCTGCCCACTCCCAGTTTTCCCAGTGGTGGTGACTTCCTGGTGACCTGGAAGTTGACCCTGGGGCGGTGAAGGGAGGAGTCACGCTTCTGGGTGCTGATTCTCTGGCTCAGACACAGCCCTGGGAGGCAGGAACCATGGGTCATATTGCCCCCCAACCCATACCCCCGGCCTCTATTGCCCTCCCGTGCCGGGACTCACTGAGGCAGAGCAGGGCCGTGAGTGGGAAGGGCATGGCACAGATTCAGGCGGGAGATGCAGCGTGGCCGGCTGGCAAGGAGCACAGCATGTGGCGGGCAAGGCCTTACGCCAGTCACCCAGGGGATGTTTTTACAGGCAGGGCCACAGCCCTCCCTCCGCCACCTGACCACGGCCCCACGACAAATCCAACCACACCCGCATCTGTTACTGGAGAAAAGCAGGGTTCTTGTCTTCACACGAGAAAGAATTCAGGTGTGAGAGGCCGGCACGGTGGCTCACTTGGTTAATCCTCCGCCTGCGGCGCCGGCATCCCATATGGGCGCCGGTTCTGGTCCTGGTTGCTACTCTTCCAGTCCAGCTCTCTGCTGTGGCCCAGGAGTGCAGTGGAGGATGGCCCAAGTGCTTGGGCCCTGCGCGCCACATGGGAGACCAGGAGGAAGCACCTGGCTCATGGCTTCGGATCAGCACAGCGTGCCGGCCGCAGCAGCCATTTGGGGGGTGAACCAACGGAAGGAGGACCTTTCTCTCTGTCTCTCTCTCTCTCTCACACTGTCTAACTCTGCCTAATAAAATTTAAAAAAAAAATAAACATTTAAAAAAAAAGAATTCAGGTGTGAGACAGAGTAGTGGGAGGTAAAATAGCAAGGTTTATTAGGGCAGGGACATCCGTAAGGACGGATGGGCACCTCTCCAGACAGAGCCTGAGAGTGCCCAGTCGCTCGGACTGGCAGGGCGTAGTGAGGTTACATGGTTGAGTGGAGAGAGTACACCTGGGCAGGCAGGCCGATCAGCGGAGATGCAGAGGGCTGAGCGCACCGTCCAGTTGAGGCCGGGGGTTTTTAAGAAGATGGGTCTTTGTCTTCACACAGCTCCTCCTGAAACAAAGGATTTTATGGCTGTAAATATTAAGAAGCTCCTATCTGACTTTCCCCTGAAGGTATCAGACAGGAGGAAGCCTAGCTGGCACCATCCTGGGTTCAGAGGAAGGGTGAGCAGGACCCCCTAGAGAATGGGGATCAGAGCAGGGTGTTTGAAATGCAGGTACTGGGCTGCATCTGGGAGATTGTGGCAGATTTGTCAGGCAGAAGGGGCGGGACCTCCACCTGGCAGGTTATCAGGTAGGAGGGGGCAGGCAGGATGCGAAGGCCGGGCTGCCCTGAAACATCATCGGGATGACTTTGAGATGCAGCATATGCTGGACATAGATGTCTTCTCTTTAGGCCTGTCATACACACATAAGCTCCCACGGAACACTTCCTACCTAACACAACCTCAGTGTCTGTCAGCTTCAACACCACGCCGCTCCCTCCCCAGAGCTCCCGTCCATTGCTGGCCTGGGTAGCTCCTGTTGTCTCTGGATGCCACAGGGCCGGGTCTTGTGGGTTCCCAGTGCATCTGCAGCTCCAGAACAGGGGGATCAGACCGAGGGGCACAGTCATGGGGCAGCCCTGGGAGGTCACCGTGCCATCCACATGCAGGGGAGGCGAGGGAGAGAATGGGGGTTCTGTGACCCCTGCTTTAACGCCTCGCACCCGTGGAGAGATGTGGGACTCTGCACAGCACCGCCCCCCCGTCTGGAAATGGGAGCACGGGCTCCATCTCCTTTCTGAGCTACAGAACCTCCAGGACCACAGCCCTCGCCCTGCAGGTGCAGGAGGGAGGGTGGGGACAGGAAGGCAGGTTTTCTGTGCTCCCTGGAAGTGATGGCGAACAAGGCCCCGCCTGTCTGCCCCGGCTCGTTCTCCCAGGGCCTGAGCACTCGCCTTGGGGGAGATGAAATGGCTGGATTTCAGAGACAGCATCGGACTGAGGCAGGGCCGCTCTGGCTCCAGGGGTCGACACCTGGGGTGGGTTTCTTCTCCTGTCCTGTGGCACAGGGACCGGCTCACCCCGAGCTCCCCCAACACAAACTCTCTCCAAACACCGACCACGGAACTCGAGTCAACCCCTGGCGCTGTGAGGATGAGGCCAAAGTCCCCACGGGGTCTCCCGGGGTGGGGTCCCCTCTGGCTTTTGCGCAAGTTTCTGATTTTTTATTTTTATTTATTTATTTGTTTGTTTGTTTGTTTGTTTGTTTTTGACAGGCAGAGTGGACAGTGAGAGAGAGATAGAGAGAAAGGTCTTCCTTTTTGCCGTTGGTTCACCCTCCAATGGCCGCCACAGCTAGTGCACTGTGGCCAGCGAACCGCGCTGATCCGAAGCTAGGAGCCAGGTACTCCTCCTGGTCTCCCATTAGGTGCAGGGCCCAAGCACTTGGGCCATCCTCCACTGCACTCCTGGGCCACAGCAGAGAGCTGGCCTGGAAGAGGGGCAACCGGGACAGGATCCGGCACCCCGACCAGGACTAGAAACCAGCATGCCAGCCCCGCAAGGTGGAGGATTAGCCTAGTTAGCCGCGGCGGGGTCCCTGATTTTTTATTTTTAAATTCTGAAAATGTGAGAGGCAGAGAGAGAGTGAGCGAGCCAGCTCCATCCATTGTGTCACTCCCAGAATGCTCTGATGGCTGGGGTGAACCAGGGCCAATGCCAGGGGCCATGAGCTTTATCCACACCCCCCCACATGGGAGGCAGGAACCCAGCTGCCCAGCCGGAGACCATGGCCCCAGGACCTGCATGAGCAAGGAGCTGGAGCCCAGACGTGCAGCCGAGAATTGAACCCGGGCCTTGCATCGTGGGGCCTTTGCTTCCTCCTGAGGCCGGTTGTTCTCACTGCGGGTTCAGCTGCAGTGGGTTCTGTGCCTTTCTGTGGTCTCTCCCAGTCCCCCAGGGGTTGGGTGCCCAGCAGGGGGGCAGCTCTCTGGCAGACACTGTGGGTGTGCATGTTCCCACCCCACTAGGTCAGACTCAGCTTCATGCTCTCGTGAAGGCCGTGGGTGTTGGGTTTTCAGTACTTTGCTTCCAGATCTGCAGGTGCAGGCTCCCTGCATGTGGCCGGCTGGGGTGGTGACCGGAGCTTTTCTCTGAGGGCCGAGGGTCCTGACTGCTTTCTCTCTACAGCACCCACTCTCTTTAGTTCTGTGGAGACCTTGGTTCAAAGCCCCCTCCTCAGGGACTTGAGGCAGGGTCTCTGTTTTCTGGGAGGTGGTAAACCCCATCAGGGCCCACCTCCTGGGCAGAGTCTGCCGAGTACCCGCACTTTCACTCCCACTCGAGCCAGAAGGCTCTCAACTAAGCTTTCGTCTCCACCACTGGCTGCTTTATTTCTGTGCCCTTGAGACCAGATACTTATGGAATTGTTTCTAATGTGTCTTGTTGATGTGTGTGCACATGTGTGTGCACATTTGTATGTCTGTGTGCATTTATGTATATGTGTTTCCCAGTGTGCAGGTGTGTGTATGTGTCTGCATCTGTGTGCACGTGTGTATTTCTCTGTATATTCGTGTATGTATCTGCATCTGTGTGTATACACATGTGCATGTGTGCATGTATGTCTGCATTTGTTTGCATGCATGTCTGTTTGCATGTGTGTATGAGTGGGTCTGGGTGTGCATGTGTGTATGCGTCTCTGTGTTCTGTGTGCGCAATCTGTGCTTGTGTGTGCATGTGTGTGCACGCAGGTATTTCTGTGTCCGTGTCTCTGTGCATGGATGTGTGTGTCTGCACATGTGTGCATGCTTGTGTATATGTGTTTATGTGTCTGCATGTGTGTATGTGTGCATGTGTAAATGCATGTATGTGCGTGTGTGTCTGTGTCTGCATGTGTGTGCATGCGTGTGTGTGTGTGTTGATGGGCACAGCAGTCCTGTGCACGGCCTGAGCCAGCACTTCCTCTCACGCAGCTCTGTGCCCAGCAGAGGTCAGCACATCATGGCCCAAGGACCACAGCCAGCCTACGGCCTCTCTGTAGATGGCCCATGGTCTGAGCGTGTTTTCACATTTCTGTGTGTCTGAGACAAAATGAAAGAAGGCTATCCCGGGCCGTGTAGACATGCTGTGACACACAAACATCAGCTCTCACCTTGCTTACTGGGAATCGTCCCTGTTCCAGTGTGTGCACAGCTCATGGTTGCTCTGCTGTTCCCAAGCCCAACTGGCTCAGCTGACCTCCTGGGGGACGGCAGAGGACGTGTGCTGGAATGAGAAGGCGATGCCAAGATGGCCGCTGGCGAAAGAAACTGTCTGGCAACAGGCTGTGATTGAATGGCTTTGGAAACTGCCTGGCAACAGGCTGTGATTGGATGGCTTCAGAAACTGCCTGGCAACAGGCTGTGATTGGTTAGGGCATAGACCGCCCCTTGACTGGATTGGCTGCCTTGGCTATATAAGCTGCTGTATCCACTGAAATAAATGAGTCTGCAGGCTGCTCGCCTCTGTCCTGCTTTCACCCGACTCCCGGGGTCTGTGTGGTGACTCCGCGCCTCTTGCCCCCACCACGCTCCTCCTCCCAGAACAAATCCACAGCAACAGACGTGAGCTGAGTTTGTGAGGGGGCAAGAAGCCATTCTTGTTGCATCCTTGCCCCAGACCAGGTGCCCTCTGCTGCATTCCTACGCTGCTCTGCACACCCCTGCTGTGGACAGGGCCCTGCACAGCCAGCTGCGAGCCTCTGCCGAGGACACAGAGGGGCTGAGAGGCACCTACCTGTGACCATGAGCTCCAGGGCACCACTGGGGGCTGCCATGGTGGCTGTTGCTGTGGGATTTGTTCTGAGAGGAGGAGCGTGGTGGGGGCAAGAGGCACAGAGTTACCACACAGACCCCAGGAGTCAGGTGAAAGCAGGCCAGAGGCGAGCAGTCCACAGACTCGTTTATTTCAGTTGGTACAGCAGCTTATATAGCCGAGGCAGCCAATCCAGTCAACGGGCAGTTTATGCCCTAACCAATCACATCCTGTTGCCAGGCAGACTCCATTTCCAGGTGGCTTCCAAGGGGGCTTCCGAAGCCATTCCTGAGTAACTGACGCTCACTTGCCAGTGGCCATCTTGGTATGGCCTTCTCATTCCACCACAGGTGGCGACCGCACAGATGCGGGGGTTCCCAGGACCAGAGCCAAGGTTCCTCGGGACCCCTTGCATCAGTGCTGTGGCAGGGAGCCATTTCCCCCCGGACGCACTGGAACTTTATCAAGAGGATGCTGGAGGAGGAAGAACATGGCAGGGAAATGTTCTGTCCTGACATAACCCCAGACCCTGATCCACAACAGGCAGGGCTTGTCACAGGAGCCTGAGAGAGAAGAGGAGAGGTCAACAAACTTTCTCCTTTTAAGGAAATCATTGCTTTGATATTCAAAAGTTGTATTTCTGTATAATTGTCATGTAAACATCAAACACACAAACACACAACACACACGCACACAAACGTGGAAGAGCTAACCCAAGCTAGATAACGTGTGCATTACCTCACAGACTTATTGTGTGCTGGGAGCATCTGACACAGTTTTAAGCCATTTCAGCTGCCCATGCCGTGAGCGTTATTAACTACAGTCGCCATGACGCACACTACTACCTCTAGACTTCTTCTCCCACGTGATTCTGTATCTCTGCACTCTGACCTGTGGATCCCAGCACCCACGCCCTCCCCTGGTGACCACCACTCTGCTCCCCAAGTCCCTCACAGCACACACCTGAATGACTTCCCACGTACGTTCTCCTCTGTGCCTGGCTTGTTTCACTTCCACAGTATCCGCAGTGCCTCGGTTTCCTGAAAACATCCGGGTTTCACTCTTCTATGGCCGAGTCTTATTCCACTGTGGGACGCCTTGCTTCGGGCCCCATTCGCCTCGGTTGATGATGACAGTGATGTGAGCTGCACCGCAGGAACGCGGGCGTGCAGGTGTCTAAGGGTCTCCTCTCCTGTAGCTCCTCCCCTGTGCCCGACCTGCGCTAGGAGTAGGGAGCGGTGGGGGTCTGGGCCCCAGGATCCCCTCTCTGTCCCACACTGTTGCGGACAGGTGAGCCAAGGAGCCGCCCATGCGCTCAGGGAGTTGGCACCGTCGAGAAGTAAAACCAGGAAGCGGGCATGATACCAAGGGTTCGAGGGGCCAGGTGGGGCTGAAGGAGGAGCTGCCGGGTAGAGAGAAGGTTAATGGTGGACGGACCGGAAATGCCAGACGGGCTCTTCCGGAAACCTGGGAACCTCGGGCGCGAGTCCGGAGACCCCAGCCCCCTCTTAAGGAGTCCTACAGTGTTCAAATGTGCTCTTCCAGGAACCCGGGAATCTCGGGCTCGCGTCCGGAGACCCCAGGCCGCTCTTCCGTAGACCCAGGAATCCAGAGCGCTCTTCTGGAAGCCCTGCACACCCTCTTCCGGAAACTCAGAGACCCTGCACTTCTCTTCCAGAAACCACAGACGGGCTCCTCCAGAAAGCAGGGGTCCCAGATGCCCCCTTCGATACACGGGCTAGGCTGACCTTGGTTTAGAGCTACAGTGGAGGCACGGCCGGAGCAGGTGCGTTGCGCTCTACTTCTCAGGTGTCCGTTGCATGTAGACTTCCTTCCACACAGAAAGTGCCAGGGAAGAAGGAGGACGCTCCCTTGGGAACCAGGTGCCCCAGATCCGCAGCAGCAGCCACGCTCATTTAGTGAAATACGCCTTCCCAGGAATCCAGTGTAAGTTCTCTCTTCTACGCGGAAGTTGGAAAAGTTGGTCTCATAGTAGCAGAGTAGGATGGTGACCACTATCGCTGAAAAGGGTCTGGGGGAGAGATGAGGGAGGTTTGGTCCCCGGGTCCCAAGGTGGAGTCAGATAGAGGAACGGCTCTGTCTGCACAGCACAGGAGGCACCCATGGCTCACATAACCTGTTGAGTGTTTCTATAAAGAACTCGAGGAGAGGAGCTGGGCCCAAACACAAGACATGACGAGATGGGAACGCCCTGGTGTGATCAGCACACCCTCAAATACTACGCTGCACCTTCCAAATTATTACGTGTTCATTTAAAGGGAAAAATAGGTGGCAAAAATGGTGTCTCTGTCTTCCTCCTTTGTCGAGCTGAAATTCACAGAGCACAGATTACATACCTAACAGAAATTTAATTCATGCTGTAGCTACCTCTCACATTCACTGTGTTGTGTACCCACCAGCACCTGTCACAAACATCTTCATTAACAGAGACAGAAACCCCAGACCCACTCAGCAGGCACCTGCACGCTCCCTCCCCACACCCGAGTCCACATTCTGCCCTCTGAATCTGCACCCCCGGGCACCTCTCAGAGCAGAATCAGACCATTGTCTCTTTGTGACACCGGCTGATTTCTCCACGATTATCCAGACCCTCCTTCTTTTCTAACAGGAGAGTATCAGCCGTGTCTACAAATACTGCCTGTTGTGGACACACTCACCTGTTGTGCTTCTTCTGGTTGCTGGCATCTTTGGGCTCATGTGAATGAGGCTGCTATGAACCCGTGGATGCAAAAACCTTCTTGGGTTCCTGCTTCAATCCCTGTGGTTATATGCAGGAGAGGAATTGTTGGATTGGATGGTAATTCCAAGGAACCATGTTTCCTTCTTTAGTGTGCTGAAATTCAAATAACATAAAACCAGCCCTTTAAAGTGTATTATTTGCTGACTTGTAGTACATTACCAATGTTGTACACCATTAACTTTTTAAAAACATATATTTTATTTATTTGAAAGAGTTACAGAGCTAGATACAGACCGAGAGAGAGAGAGAGAGAGAGAGAGAGAGAGAGAAAGTCTTCCATCTGCTGGTTCACTCCCCAGATGGATTGACCCCGCCCACCCTGAAATCTATTTCGCTCGTTTATTCTGTTACTTGGCGCAAGCTCCCTGTTGTTGGCTGAAACGCGGATTCCCACGCATGCGCACTGGGAACTGAATTCACCAGAAACAGAGCAAAAGGCTCCATGAAGAAAGAGCTAAGTGCGAGGCGCACATTGGTCTGCAGGGGGCGCTCTCGCACCTCAGGGCAGGAGAAGTCCATGGCTGAATAGAGGAAGAGCCCCTGCTGCCCCCAGACAGTTCCCGCAACCGAATGCTGGAAGACTGTTCCCCACTGTGCTCACGCTCCCCCCTGCCCCGCCCCCAGGGCTCGTCCTCTCTGACCCAGCGCTGTCCTCTCTCCAGGTCACCGCCGGCCTGCAGCCCGGGTCCTCTTGTGGCTGTACCAAGCCTCTGCCAGCAGAAGCCCGAGGCCCAGCAGGACCAAGCCCGCCACGCCCATGCGGATGAGGTTCTCCAGGGTGTGGTCCTGGGGCGCTGGGGCTGGGGGTGTGCACGGAGGGGTCACCTAGGCTGGCCAGCCCCAGTAACACAGGACCCCACCTCCCCGCAGCAGCCTGAGCCCAGGGCTGCACATCTTTGTGTCTAGGGAGTCCCCTCGCCCAGCGTGGGCTTTGTGAGAGGCCTGTGCACCCAGCCCAGTTCCCTTCCCAACCAGCCCCTGTTCCATCCACTCCACTTCCCACACAAACCCTGTGCCACACAGGGTGACCCGGGCCCCAGGGCTGAGACCTCTGCTGTTTCTCACTCCCTGTGACCTCCCCCAGGTCCCCTCCCCCAGCCCAGTCCTCCTGTGGGGACAGCCCTGCACTGACCATGAGGACTGATGAGACAGGGCTGGGGCCCTCACCTGACACCTCCAGCTGCAGGGGGTCACTGGGCAGTGACCACACACGGGTCTTGTTGGTGTCAGCACGGTAGCACCTGTAGATGCCCCTTTGGGTGCTGTCCACGGGGCCCAGGAGGAAGGTGGCCTGCCACAGCCCAGCCCCATGGGAGTATCTGGCTTCCAGGCTGTGCAGGGGGCCGGCTCCACCCTCCTTCAGCAGATGGGCAGTGCCCGCCTCATCTGAGCCACAGGAGAGGGACACGTTCTCTCCTGACGCCACCACGGGGCTTGGCTGGGCCGACAGGGAGGGCGCCGGGAACATCCCTGCAGGGGAAGCAACCAATGTCTGGGGGCTGCTGCTCCGTGAAGTCCATGTTTCTTCTTCTGTGGGCAGGGGAAATACCTTACCCGTCACCACCAGGGTCAGGGGGTCACTGGGCTGGGAGTGGCCGAGCGAGGTCCAATACACACAACAGTACTGCCCTGTGTCATGGGAGCTCATGGACGTGATCACGGAGAAGCTGGCCTTGTGTCTGGAGTCCTGCTGGGGCCTCGTTCCCAGGGATGACGGCCGCTCTCTGTATACATATGATAGACCTCAGCCTGCAGAGACCCCTGGCACCAGAGGGTCACAGGGCTTCCTACGGCGACCAGGGGGCCTGGGTCGGCCCAGATGGAAGGCTTGGGGAGGGTCCCTGGAAAGGAATCAAAGTTGCAGACCCCGGGTGCAGCCTCTCTCCCACCCCATTCCCCAGCTCCACTCCCAGCCCCTCCCAGCCATCACCATCAGCCCAGCCCCCCTGGGCTCCTTAACATGAGCTGTCTGGAGCCCCCGGGACTGAGCCAGGTCAGGGGAGGACTCACCCGCCTGTGCCCCATCCCCTGGCACCCGGCACAGCCCTGGAAGAGAAGTCCCCGTGAGAGCTGCTCCCCACTCCCCACCCCTGCAGAGATGCCCAGGCCTGCCCTGGTCCTCTGAGCCCTGGGGTCCCAGCTGGGGCAGGGCGCTGTCCCCTCCCGCACCTGTAGGGGTCCCATTCTCCCCGTGTCCCCAGCTCACCCAGGCAGAGGAGGGCAGTGAGGGCTGGGGTCTGGGCCCCGCCGCCCATGGTCCCTGTGGAGCAGAGTAGCTGTGAGGGGCGCAGGCCCAGAGTCCGGCTGGAGATGAGCGGGGAGACGTCACGGGTTCCTCATCTGTGGCCTCACAGGAACGGGGGCAGCCCCTCCCCGATCTCCCCCGCTGTCCCTGAGGACGGGGCCCAGGAAACAGCGGACACTAGGGACAGCTAGGACCAGGCCTCCGCCTCTGCTGCCCCCTGTGCTGTGACTGCCCGGCCTCCCTCCCCTACTCCAGCCCCACCCCTCCAGGAGTCCACTTTCTGTCCAGTTAGGGTTCTGGTTCTCCCTGCACAGGCCGGGTGGCCGAGACACGCACTTCCCTTTCCTGAGCGGTTGAGTGCAGTTGTGGGGGCTGGGGCGGGGGGAGGGGAGGGGGAGGGCTGGATCCCGTGGGGAGGGTGACGGAATCTTCCAGGCCTCTCGGAGCTGATGAGAGCGGATGAAGATGGCAGACGCTGCAGAGGTGTGGCTGAGCTGCAGCCCATCTGTGTCTGTGGCAGGTGCAGGAGGGCCCACAACAGGGGACACGGGCCTGGGTTGGGGTCCTGCTGGGAGCTGGCGGGCTTGGGTCCCTGCTAGGGGCTTGAGGAGGGAGGGTGTCTTGGAGCACAGGCCCCAAGCTCCTCTGGGAACTGAGAGCATGGGATACCCTGGCCCCGGGCCAGCTGGTGACCCATGCCCCACACCCTGTGCTGGGTTTCTCTGATTGAGGGGGACTTGGAGCAGGGGACTGGGCTCGTGTGGAACCACACTCCACGTGGGGCTGGGGATCCCCAGCACCTGTGTCCTGAGCCCCCCACGGCCTCTCCTCCCCTGATCTGAGCACCTGGGCTCCGTGCTCCCGGATGACATGGGGGTGCCGCTTCCTGAGACCTGAACAGGTGATGTCGTCCCCCAGCGTCTCTGTGGTGGGGATGCCCGAGACCTCCCCTCTGGGTGGCCATGGCTGCAGCACTCCGGTCTCAGGGTCCTGCAGTGTCCCTTCCAGATTCAGACGTGGGGACAGCACCGTTCTGGTAGGCACCCCTCCTCAGAAGTCCCTAGGAGCGCCCGCTGACCCCAGAGATGAATCAGAAGCGGTCCCGGGTCCCAGACAGAATGGAAGACCCCATCCTCAGCCGTGTTTGGGGGTGGAGCTCTCAGCTGCCTGCTCTGGGGTGGGGGCCCCATGAGAGAACGCACGGTGGCTCATCACATCCTCGGGTGGCAAGGCACTGACAGGCATCTGTCCTTTCCTTAGCCCTGCGTCTGGTTGAGAGGACGTCCCCCTCCCAGAAACAGGAGCTGGCAAAGCGTGCATGCAGTGGGGTTCACAGCAGAGACGCAGAAATGCAGCGACCCCCTCTGGCCTCCACAGCCCTGCACAACCCCAGGGCTCTGTGGGCTTCCAGCCCTGGGTGTTTCTGGGAAGGGTGCTATGTGAGGCCCATTGTGTGTGGCTGTGCCCCTAATCCCCACACATCCTCACTTCACGGCTTCCTGGGGCTCATCAGAGTTCCCACGGAGCCAGGGACCCACCTCCCTGAGCCCGGCATCCCCGGTGCACATCTGGCTCCTGTCCCTGGCCGGCCGTGCTTGGATGGATGCCTGTGTGCACAGTCCCTGGGTGGTTGTCAGGGCCTCCCCCTGGCCCTCGGTGGTGAGAACGCTCCACAGAGCCTGCACTCAGCACACTGGTGAGCGCTGTGCCTGACCCTGACCCTTGCCAGGATGTGGGTCAATGGGAGCAACTGACTCCGTGCAGGGGGTGGGTTGCTCTGTGCTGTGCTGACGCTGGGTGTGGTGCTTTGAGGAACTATGAGCCTCTTGCCACACTGGCCAAACCCTGCACATTCCAGCCGCGTCTCAGGGCTGCGATTTCCCCACACTCTGACCACACTCTGCCTACTGTGTCCTCGAGAAGTGACCAGTGAGGTGGCATGGGGGGTGCCTCTCTCTGGCATTATTTGCACTTCCCTTCCCTTGTGCTGAGTGAGTTGCACCCTTGCTTTTCCTACTGTGGCTTCCAGATCTTCATGCAATGTGTTCTTGTCTTTCTGTTCCCTTCGTAGCTGTCCACGGTGCACAGAGTTCTGAAGTTTTGAGGATGATCAATGCAGCCATTTTCCTGTTTGTTCCTCATACTTTCAGAATCACAGCTAAGACGCTGTGATGAGGTCATATTTACCCAGGTATTTCCTTCTAGGAGTGTTTAAAAATTTTTTTGTAAACTCTGATTTATTTATCGAGAGGTAGGGACAGAGAGGAGAGACAGCAACAGAGATTTGCCACCTTCTGGCTCACTCCCCAGATGGCTGGGCCAGGCTGAAGCCAGGAGCTTCTTTGGGTCTCCCACGTGGGTGCAGGGCCCCAAGCATTTGGGCCATCCTCTGCTGCTTTCCCAGGGGCATTAGCAGGGAGCTGGATCAGAAGTGGGGCATCCGAGATTGGAACTGGTGGTCATATGGGATGCCGGCGCTGCAGGTGTTGGCTTTACTCCCTCAGCTACGCTGTGGTGGGGTGGGGTCCCAGCCCATAACTGGAAACACTGGTGCAGAATCCACAGCGCTCTCTCAATCCCACCTCCCTGAACTCTGTGGGAAACGCAGACTTGCACCACATGGACAAGCAGAGTAACCAGCCACCAGAGGAAGCCGGGCAGGCATCCGCACTCTTCCAGAACACCGGGTGCTGCCGTCTGCCAGAACCGCCGTGTTGCGGGGTTTATGTTAGTTGTGCATTGAGAAATCCAGATGACCCTTGAACTTCCCGTGCCTGAAGAAACCCTGCACACACTTTCTTTCACTTCTGTGTGGTCCTCTCAGAGGGTGGATTCCCACGGTCATCTGGGATTTTACCTTAGAGTTTGATAAGCCACACGTTTTTAAAAATATTTATTTAAAATCAGAGTTACAGAGAGAAGGAGAGAGAGAGGTATCCATCTGCTGGTTTCATCCCAATGGGTCCTCACAGCTGGAGCTTGTCTGATCTCCAGCCAGGAGCCAGGAGCCAGGAGGCAGGAGCTTCTTCTGGGTCTACCACATGGATGCAGGGGCCCAAACACTTGGGCCATCTTCTACTGCTTTCCCAGGCCATAGCAGAGAGCTGGATTGGACATGGGGCAGCCAGGACTTGAACCGGTGCCCACAGGGGATGCCGGCACCTCAGGCAGCAGCTTTTATCCATTAAGCCACAGCACCAGCCCAGATCTATTGATTCTGACCTCCCACTTCTCGCCCCACCTGTCATGGCCTCCTTTCGGTGAGCAGAATTTTAAACCCATCTTGAGTGACAGGTGTCCCACCACATCCTGGCCCACTTGCTGAAGGTCAAGGGGAGCAAATCCTGGCGTTCCCTCTCCGTGGGCGGCAGGCCCGGGCTCCTGTGGAGACTCAGGGCCACTGAGCTGTGTGCGGTCCCTGGAGAGGAACAGGACAGAACCGCACGGGAGCCTGCAGGGCAGTGGGTAGGGCTGCGGGAGGCCAGAGCTCCTTCCCAGAATGCGCATGGGAGCCCAGGAAAGCAGCACCACCAGCGGCCCACCAGGGTCCCTGCCCCTGAGCAGGATTCCCACAACCCCAGGTGAGCTCCGCCCACTTCCCACAGCTTCTCACCATGCATGCCCAGATCCCCCCTCCCCCGCCTCCAGGGCTTGGCCTCTCTGACCCAGCTCTGTCCTCTCTCCAGGTCACCACTGGCCTGCAGCCCAGGTCCTTCTCTGGCTGTACCAAGCCTCTGCCAGCAGAAGCCCGAGGCCCAGCAGGACCAAGCCCGCCACGCCCATGCGGATGAGGTTCTCCAGGGTGTGGTCCTGGGGCGCTGGGGCTGGGGGTGTGCACGGAGGGGTCATCAGGCCGGCCAGCCCCAGTGACCCAGGACCCCCTACTCCCCGCAGTAGCCTGAGCCCTGGGTCAGGCCTGTAGCTCACTCACCAGCGGGGGAGCCTGGCTGGGGGTGCGAGGGGCTGCTGGGCTCTGGTCCTCCTGAGACCAGGCACAGGACAGTGAGGAGGAGGAGACCCCGGCCTGCTCCGCACTCTGTGCTTCCCAGCCTCTCGTCTCGCGACGCAGTTCAGCGTGGTCCTCAGCTGAGTCGCCCACACATCACTCTGTGTTCTGGAGCCGCCAGGGAGCTCCGCAGGGGAGAGACATGTGGCAGCCAAGCCTGGCGAGCCTCTCCCTACAGGAGCAGGTCCCGGGCCCACCCTGGGCCATGACCAGGCCCCACTGGGCTCGATAGTCTCTGTCCTACTCTAACAGACACCCCGGGGTGTGAGGCCCGTCCTGGGTGGGTCCTGTCCAGTTCTGCAATGCTCGCCCGCTGTGGGAGCCCGGCCTGGGGCTGCCGGCCAGGGCGCTGGGCAGACCCCGTCAGGCCCTCTGCAGGGACCACCGAGGGCACTGCTGGGTCAGGAGGGAAGAGGGGCGGGGCTGCACACTGGCTCCGCCCACACCCTATCCCTCCTGCCCTGCAGTTCCACCACCCTCACTCTGGGTGTCTGGCCCAGGAGCCCCATGCCCCTTGCCCAGTTCCCATCTACGCCTCCTCTCAGTGTCTCCGTGACCTACCCAGCTCCTGCGCAGGCTGTGGCTTCCTCACCTGTCACCCCCAGCTCCAGGGCGTCACTGGGCTCTGACCACACAGAAGGATTCTCCCTGTAGGAGCCATAGCATCGGAACGCCCACCTGCGACCGGGAGTCACAGGGCCCACAGGGAACAGGGCCTGGGACTGCGCACTAGGGCGTGGCTCTGAGCTCCGGGTCCTGGCAGCCCAGGGCGCCCCCTCCTCTGTCAGAATGAACCTGTGGAATCCCAGCTGGGAGGGGCACTGGAGGGTCACATTGCCCCCTGAGGTCACCACAGGGCTGGGCAGGGCTGAGAGGCTGGGCTTGCCGTAGGCTCCTGGGAGAGGAGGAGCAGTCATGTGAAGCAGGGCTCACCCCCCACGGTACCCCCAGGGCTGCGCTATGAGAGGGGGACCCCTGGGAGCAGACCCCTCCTTGAGGGCACAGCCTGTGGGGCTGGGACCCTGCGTGACCCTCACCTGACACCCGCAGCTCCAGGGCGGCACTGGGCTCTGACCAGCCAGCAGCTCTGAGGCAGACACAGTGGTAGTGCCCCACGTACACCTCAGCCATGTGAGGGATGGAGAACTTGACCTTGTTTCCGGGCTCCAGGGGCATCGCTCTGTCCCAGGGCTCTGGGATTCCCTCTCTATACAGACGGCACTCCTGGGCCTCCAGGGTCCCCTGACACCACAGGGTCCCAGGCCTGCCCAGGGCGATCACAGAGCCTGGCTCAGCCCGGAGGCTGGGTCTGGGGAGGGTCCCTGGAAGGCAACCAGAGGCTGGGTCCCAGGACCACGTCCCCTTGCAGGCCAGGACCCTCCCAGATGCCCTCCTCACCAGACAGGGCTGCTGTCCCCACCCCAGCTGCCCGGGGTGGCATGTCCCATGGCGGGGGAGGGGGGGACCGGCACAGTGGGGGCACTCTCACCTGCCTGCACTCGGGTCCTGGGCCCGCACAGCCCTGGAGGAGAGCTCCCCGTGAGAGGGTTGCCCTGCCCCTGCGCAGGTCCTCTCCTCCCCGGGGCTCCTGAGCCTGGGGTCTCCAGGGAGCAGGGCCTGGCTGTGGGTGGGGGCGGGGTCCCTGTCAGAGCAGGGGCTCCACTCCCAGTCTTCCCATCTCCCCCAGGCAGAGCAGGACCACGAGGGCAGGATCATGGTGTCCTCTGCACCTGCTCCGGCACAGCGCCCGCGGCATGGACACACACCGGGTGTGGACGCTCGGAGGCCGGGTCCTCCCAGCATCGCAGGGCTGTTCCGCCCGCAGCCCACAGGAAGGGGCACCGCACCCACCCCAGCCAGGCCCTCAGTCCCCAGGATGGGGGCACAGGCGCCCTGCAGGGATGGGGCCCCGCCCCGCCCTGTCAGCCGGCTCCGCCCTCCTCTCCCAGGGCCAGGACCCAGCACCAAGGACACGGGCCTCCCGGAGCCGCCCCTCAGGTGGGCTGATGCGCCCCGGGGTGGGGTCGTCCCCGCCCTCAGCCCCTCCTGTGGGGTCGCAGCCCGGCCACTTCCGGAGGACGCAGGTGGGCACAGACCCGCTCCCGCCCGGCCCGGAGGTCCCGGGGCCCGACCCAGGGCGGGGGAGGCCCGGACGCCCCCTCCGCCGCGGACGCCGCTCCCACGCCCCTCAGCCACAGCTTCCCCTGACCCGACCACCCGCTGCGGGGCCCTGAGGCCTCCCAGGACCTGCGCCGCCCCCTCCCGGGCCTGCCCTGACTCCCGGGGGAGGCGCCCTCACTGCGTCCCCTCACACACCCCTCTGCCCTGAGCCTCAGCTTCCCCGTGTGGGCGGACACGGACTCACCTGAGGCGGCCTCCTGCTGACACACACCGACTCTGGACTGCGCAGGCGCATGTCGATAAGGGATTGCGCAGGCGCACACCTCCACTGGCCTCGGGGGACACAGCCCAACACGTGACTGTACAGGCGCCCAAGACAGGACTGCGCATGCGTATGATGACACGCTACTCAGACACACGACGACACGTGACTGCACAGGCGCACGCCGACATGCTGCGCTCACACGTCACTGAGGGGAGTGCGTGCTGCTTTGCCGCTGTCTCCGTAGAGGAAGAGTGCGGGTCCTTGTAGGAAACGTGAGCCCTGACTGCTGCTCTGCGCGGCCCTGCAAGTCCTCGCCAGAGCAGGTGGGCGAGAAGAAGCCACAGAAAGCGTCCGAATTGGGAAGGAAGAAGCCAGGTCGGCTCTCTTTTCCGATGACGTCATCTTACCTAAGACTACCTCTCTTTGCTGATGACGTCATCTTACCCAAAGACAACCCAACGTCTCAACCAGAAGCTGCCCTCACTGGTCACCGTCAGGTCGCAGGATCGCAGTCCACACACGAACTCCCGTCAGCGCTCCAAGGGAGATCCACACAGCTCCACTTAGCAGAGCCCAGACCTCCAGCAGCCTGGAGTGAAACAAAACTCATGATTTACATGGAAACACAAAAGCCCCATTTGGGCAGTGGGCAAAGGACTTGAATTGACGTTCCGGAGAGAAGATGTGATGACTGACAGGAGGATGCAAAATCTCTCAGACAAAACAGCTTTGTCTGTGTCTGATGAGCTGTGACTTCTGGTAATGTACTGAACACCATCGATTCTTTAGTATCAAGCGGCCGGTGCCTGCCTTCACCACCAACAGCCAACCGGTGTGGTCATGACGCCTGCATTCTCTCTTCTTATAGGAACGAGTACACTTTGTGACCGTTTTGTTGGGAGTCTAAGTTTACGAGAGCATCCGTCGCAGGATTTCCCCATCTCACGGTTGCCGTCTCCGGTTTTGATTGCACTCTCTCCTTGCCTGATAAAACGTTCCTTTTTCCTGTCCTCGGGAACAGTGTATGTAAATTTTGGAGTGTGTGGGCATGCATGCGTATGTGTGTTTGCTACCTGCATAAATACGTGTGAGGAATTCCCATGAAGCTTTGCACCTGGTGTTTAGACTGAGGGAGAATGTTGGATTCCCGAGTCACGGCGTCGTCAGGTGTCAGGGCACATTTTGGTCAGCCACAGTCGCCTGTACGCCGGCGCCCCCAACATTCTAATGAAGCTGACAGCTGCCGACCTCATCGTACTCTTGCTGCACGGCTTCTGCGGGCAGAGTCCTAGATACGCAGGTCTGCACCACTGCAGGAGGACGCCCGGCCCCCGGTGGATATTCTCATAGGAATACAGCAGCGAGCTCTGCCGTTCCCAGCCCAGGAGTGAACGGCGGAGTTCAGAGCCCAGAGTGAAGTAGCTGCCATCATGCAGGTGTGTGCCGGGACTCCTTGATGTCCCATGACCAGACTCTCCCGGCACAGGGTTCCTAGAGCCGATCCTCACCAGTACAGGACATGTGGATGGATTTACTACAACTCCCTGTTCCCATAGTTCGGTTCCTTTTATTTATTTATTAAAGATTTATTTATCTACATTTTTGAAAGGCAGAGTTACCGGGTAAGGGGGGGGGATGTGGTCTTCCGTCCACTGGTCCACTCCCCAGATGGCTGCAGTGGTTATGGTAGACCAAGCTGAAGTCAGGGGCTTGGAACTCCATCCAGGTTTCCACATGGGTGCAGGTGCCCAAGCACGTGGACTTCTCCTGCTGCTTTCTCAAGTGCATCAGCCGGGAACTGGATTCTGTGGAGCAGCTGGGACTCGAACCCGTGCTCCCGTGTGGGATGCTGGCGTCTCAGGCAGCACCTTCACTCGCTGAGTCACAACGCCAGCCCAGGTTCAATTATTATTTTTCTCCCAAAGAAACCTTTCCTTTAATGAATACAAATTTCATAAGTACAACTTTAGGAATAGAGAGATTCTTCCCACACTCTCACTCCTCCTCCTCCACCCTCTCCCACTCCCAGTCCCATTCTCCACTAAGATTCATTTTCTATCAAATGTATTTTTTAAAGATTTATGTATTTAGTTGAAAGAGTTACACAGAGAGAAGGAGAAGCAGAGAGAGAGAGAGAGAGAGAGAGAGAGAGAGAGAGGTCTTCCATCCACTGGTTCACTCCCCAATTGGCCACAAGAGCTGGAGCTGCACCGATCTGAAGCAAGGAGCCAGGAGCTTCCCCTAGGTCTCCCAAAGGAGTTCAGGAGGCCCAGGACATGGGTCATCTTCTACTGCTTTCCCAGGCCAATGCAGAGAGCTGGATCAGAAGTGGAGCAGCCAGGACTTGAACCAGAGCCCATATAGGATGCCGGCGCTTCCGGCCAGGGCGTTAAACTGCTGTGCCACAGCGCCAGTCTCTCCAGTCAATTTTATACTAAGACCAACTCTATACTAAGTAAATATTTCAACAATTTGCACACACACACGCACACACAGTGTGGAGAAGTAGTTTTACAGTTAATTCTTATAATACAACTCATGAAGATCAGAGGTCCTGCATGGGGAGTCAGTGCACAGAGATTCCTGTTGTTGATTTAACAATTAACACTCTTATGTATGATGTCAGTGATCATCCGGGGCTGTTGACATGAGCTGCCTTGGCTATGAGAGCCTTTTGGAGGCCAGCGCTGTGGCATAGTGGGTTAGGCCACTGCCTGCAGTGCCGGCATTCCATATAGGCGTCAGTTCGAGTCCCGGCTACTCCACTTCTGATCTGGCTCTCTGCCATGGCCTGGGAAAGCAGTAGAAGATGGCCCAAGTCCTTGGGCCCTGCACCTGCATGGGAGACCCGGAAGAAGCTCCTGGCTCTTGATTTCAGATCAGTGCAGCTCCAGCCATTGCGGCCAATTGGGAAGTGAACCAGTGGATGGAAGACCTCTCTCTCTCTGCCTCTCCTTCAATATCCATGTAACTCTGACTTTCAAATAAATAAATAATCTTTCTTTTTTATTTAAATAAAGCCTTTTGAGTCTGCAAAAACGGTCTGAATTTAGACAGGGCCATCAGCAAAATGGGAGTTCTCTCCTCCCTTCAGAGAAAGGCGCATCCTTCTTAGATGGCCCCTTCTTTCCACCAGGATCTCACCCACAAAGATCCTTCATGTAGGTAATTTTTTGTTTCATTTTCAGTTCTCTGAATCCTGAGGTGTTCGCTCTTCCTGTGACGACCCGCGTCCCTGAGGTCACCTGTGTCTGCACAGGCAGGGTTTCGTCTGCTGCATGCAGAGAACAGAGCCTGCTACAGAGGGGAGCGGGACTGTACGGGCATCTCTCACACAGAATCAAGCGGCCACAAGGAGGGAGAGGATGCCAGTGCCAGGGGAGCCACTGAATCCTACCCCGCAGGAGGGCTGCCACAGGCGAGGCCATGGGTGCTGGCGAGGGTGCGGAGGAGAGGGAAGCCTCGGGCGCTGCTGAGGGGACCTGGGATGGCTCAGCTGCTTCGGGAAAGAGCTTGCAGCTTCCTGCAAGTATTTAAGTGGGACCACGCTCGGACTCCCCAGTCCCATTCTGGGCGCTGAGATCAGGGGCTGGCGCTGGATGCAGCAGGTGAAGCCGCCGCCCACAACACCAGCATCCTGTACCAGAGCTCGGGGAGGGGTCCCGAATGCTCCTCTTCTGATCTAACTGACCTGAAGGCAGGAGCCAGGAGCTTCTTCCAGGTCTCCTATGTGGGTGCAGGAGCCCCAGCACTTGGGCCATCCTCTGCTGCTTCCCCCAGCTGCATAGCAGGGAGCTGGACTGCAGGCAGAGAGGCTGAGACTCCTACTGGTGCTGCACTGTGGGGCACTGGTATCGCAGCTGGCGGCTTTAACCTGGGCCATGACCCCGTCTCCAGGCCCCACATTCTTTAACCTGGTCTGGAGCAGACCAGGAAACCAGTGCTCCCCAGATCCTGTGCCCACGGCTTGTCTTTGCAAGACCGAAAGAAGCCTTTGGAATCTGGAGCAAAACAGCATACAGGCCAGGACGCTTCGGGTCCGTGGGCTCAGCAGGGGTGGTCTTTGCCACCTGTGGGACGCCGGGTGGTGCTTGGGGATGCTCGTGGGCTGCTGCTACCCACGCCTCAGTGCACAGAAGGCCCTGGCCAAAACCACACCACACGGAAGGTTCCAGAAACCCTGTTACAGAATGTGACAGTGGTCCTCAACCAGGGACACTTCTGCTCCCTAGGGGGTCACTGTTGGAGACAGGTTTTGTGGCAAAACAGAACAGGAGATTCGCCACACTCAGGGCTTCAAGGAGAACAGTGAGACATTAGGCATTCACAGCACAGCTCCACCGCCCCCGCCCACTCTGAGAGCATCTGCATCCAGCACAGGAGCCCCCTCCCCAAGCGGCCCCTCTGCCCCCACCCTCAACCCCACCCCCTGAGTCTGCCAGTCTCTCTGTCACTAGGGATTCAACCAGTGAGATCGCACCTGGGGCAGTGAGACCCCACCCACATCGGTGAGACCTCTCCCACACAGGCTTGGTGACACCCCAACCATATCGGGGAGACCCCACCAAGATAGTGAGACCCCACCCGGGACAGTGAAACCAAACCCACTATGGTGAGACCCTTCCCACCCACATCAGTGACACCCCACCTGGAGTAGTTAGACCCTACCCAAGTCAGTGGGACCTCACCCACTATGGTGAGACCCCTCCCACCAGGTCAGTGACACCAAACCTACAACAGTAGGACCCCAGCCAGGACGCTGAGACCCCACTCACGTTGGTGGGACCATACCACTGTCGGTGAGACCCCACCAGGGTGGGAGAAGCTCTGGCACTTGGGCTGTGCCAGGGCTACAGACTCCAGGGCCACCAGGCAACTCCGTTCCCCACCTCATTGGGCACAAAGGGTCCCTGGAGGACAGGTCTGGGGTCCCGAGCTCAGTCTCAGCACGAGGGGAGGAGGGAAGCCCCGGTCTCAGGGAGTTCCAGGGTCCATCCATCGCCCTGGGTGATCATCACTGGACTTCCAGGGTAGCAGCTAAACGAGCCTCTGTCTGTCACCCAGCCTGTGGCACTCGGGTACAGCGGCAGGAAAGAGACTGTGGGGGGCACCCCGCAGGCCAAGGGAGGGAGAGATCAGGACAAAGCCCACGACGGGAAGCAGCCCTGAAGTGACCTCAAATACTTCACGGAAACCCAAGCTGCGCTGCGAGTGTGCGTGAAGTTTCAGCCGCAGCCTTGCTATGGAGGACAGGGCTGTTTGCTTTGTCAGGGGAGACCAGGGTGGGGCAGCGGTGGCTGAGCAGGTGCACACGCCAAAGAGCAGATCTGCCTCAGCAGGCTGTCACTCCACCCCCACCCCCCAATCCGTGCAGGTGACCCCGCTCTGCGGCACAGCACAGACGTCGCAGTCCATGCCGGCCTGGGCACGGCCGGCTCCCTCCCGGGTCCTCCACCTGCAGAGCCAGTCTTCAGCCAGGAGCCACGTCAGAGCCACCAGGACCAGGACAGCCAGGCCGATCAGCAGGAGGTTCTGGGCGGTGTGATCCCAGGCGGCTGGGGCTGGAGCAGAGGGGCCGCTGATGGGATGCAGCACTGCACCCACCCGCTCCTCTCCCCTCACCTCCCAGACCTTCCTCCTGCCCCCACCCCGCATGAGCCCCGCTACTCACCGTCCTGGACTCTGGACACTGTGGGTCCGAGACGGGGTTCCCGAGAGCCTGCTGTGGGAAGGGAGGGTCGGCTTTGGCTTCCGCCTGCCCAGCCTCTCCTTCCTCAGCCCAGCCCCGCCACACCCCGCGGCTGTCCAAGTCTCCACCCCATGCCTCACAGGGGTCCCAGCGGCCTCACCCCGCGGGCAGGAGCCCCAGGCCCCAGGCAGAAGCTGGCGCTGCACTATTGCGCATGCGTCTCCGTGCCTCCCACCCCGACGGGGGCTCTGCGCCCCCCTCACGCGGGTCTTTCTCCACACGGCGTCAAATCCAAAGCCAGCCCCCGCCCACCAGCCTCCTGGCCAGTCCCTCGTCACCGGGTCCCCTTCCTGACTTCCGGCACTGCTGGGTCGCCCCCTCTCTTTCTGGAAATCTCTTCGTTCTGAGAACCATGGGGCTAACAGGCTCAGTCAGCCAGTGTTCACCCAGATGTCTCCTGCATGTGCCCAGCCAGGCGGCCCTGCTTACCCTCCAGGGTCCCCCTTCCAGGTCACCAGCCCTCCTTGTGTGCGATACCAGGGGGCTTCTAAAACTTCATGGGACACAGAGTTAAAAGAGAAGTTTATGGGGCCAGCGCTGTGGTGTAATGGGCTAAAGCCTCCGCCTATAGCACCAGCACCCCATATGGGCACCGGTTCGAGTCCCCTCTGCTCCACTTCTCTCCAGCTCCCTGCTAATGTGCCTGGGAAAGCAGCAGAAGGTGGCCCAGTCCTTTTACCCCTGCACTTTCCATGAGCTCTCTGAACTGCCCTCATATAACACATTTCTCTCTCCTGACATCCACCCATGGACGTTCCATCCACTCCAGCCAGGACGCTTGTGCCCCAGAGACCAGGAGGTTTTTCTGGTTGATGGACACTGCTGTATGGGTTGCCCGTCCCTTATCCAAAATGCTAGGGACCGGAAGTGCTCCAGATGGGCTTGTCCTGGGATTTGGAATATTCCCATACACACAGTGAGGTCTCCTGGAGACTGCGCCCATGTCTTAAACACAAGATTCCCTGCGTGTCACGGGCCCTGGGGACACAAGCTCTGGGTAACTTCTCATCATGTCCCTAGTGCACCTGCGTTCTGCATATGGACCAGCATGAGAGGGAGGGTGTGGGTTTCACTGCTGGCGGCTTGTGGGCACTGAACACCACCACACCTGGGGCACCTGCACTGCACTGTGCAGGCGGGGAAGCCCACGGCTCCCACAGGCATGCACAGAAAGGCTCCAGCTCTCCTGAGTGTGGAGGAGCAACCTACTCACCGGGAGCAGGGGCGGGGTCTGTGGGTTCCAGGCTGGGGTCTCCCACATCTGGAGACAGAGATGAAGAGGACAGGTCGGGGCTGGGGGCTTCCTCTGCTCCCCCCCATTCCCCTTCCCTGGCCCCCTGGGGTGGACGTCCCTTCAACATGACCCTGGGGTTTCTTTAGGAGCCCAGGGAGGACCTGGGAACTGGGGGCTTCCTCACCTGTGACCAGGAGCTTCACGGGCTCACTGGGGAAGGACCACACATGGCCGCTATAGGCGCCAAAACACCTGTACGTGCCTGTGTGTGCCGAGGTCACAGGGCCCACGGGGAACTCCGCTGGCACCGCCCCGTGGCTGCCCTGTGCGTGGCTGGGCCCGCCTTCCCGGAGCAGGAAGAAGGTGTTGGTCACCGTCTCTAGCTGGCAGTAGAAGGTCACATTCTCTCCCGAGGTCACCAAGGACCCTGGCAGAACCCATAGGGTGGGCGTGTCGTACATTCCTGCACGCGAAGCTGGCCAGTGTCTTCCTGCCTCCCAGGCTCCACCCCTGCAACCTCGGACCCTCCTCCTGCCCCCACACCTGCCCCAGCACAGACGCGCCCTCCCCAGCCGTGCTCCCTGGTGGAGCCGCTCAGTGCCAGGAGTGAGGATCAGACTCTCTGGGAGCCGCTGTCCACGGGGGGTTCCCAGAGATTGGCTGCTATGTCCACAACGCCAGCACGGCCTGGGGCAGCCGATGGCCAGGGGCCACCTCAGAGCCACCAGTCAGAGACTCGGGTGGGGCGGCCGTTTGCTTATGTCTTTGGGGGAAACATACATAATATAGAATTCAGCATCTTAACAGCTTTAAGCGTCGCCCCGTGTCTCAACTTCTTTTGCAAGCTCAGCCCGTTCCCTCGCATGCGGTGCAGCCCACGTTTGCCACGCCTTCCCCAGGGGACACTCGGCTGCTTGCAGCTCTCGGCCCTTCTGATCCAGGCTGCCGTGACTCGGGGCCAAAGCTCTCTGTGTTTGTCACGAGCCCTCCTGCAGATCCTACCAAGTGCTTCAGTCTGAGACACAGGTCCCCGGCTGTAGGGAGCGCCCTGGCCCAGACACCTTCCCTCCGTGGGAGCCGCCCTCCCACAGGACAAGCCTCTCTCTCTGCCCGGCCTGCTTCTCTCCCCTGTCCCAGGGACCCGGGTGCCGTCCTCGGTAGGAGCCCTGCACCGATGCCCTGCTGGGCTTCCCTGTCCTGCAGGCTCTTCCCAGAGGAAGCAGCCCCCTTTCTTACACCTGCAGAGCATGGCTGGGTGGGGCCGCCACCTGCCCCCACCATTGCATGGCAGCGGGCAGACTCACCGGTGACCACCAGATCCAGGGGCTCGCTGGGCTCCGACCAGAGCTCCCCGTTGCGGCAGAAGCAGCGGTAGCGCCCTGCAGTGCGCGAGGTCATGGCCGCGATGGGGAATCGGACTCCGCCCCTTGCTTGGGATCGCTCGGGTTTCCCCCAGGCAGAGAGGCCCCCCTCGGAGCGCAGCTGGTACTCCTCGGCCCCGGGGGGCCCCTGGCACCAGATGGCTGCTGGCTTCCCCTCTGGAATCCTGGAGTCGGGCTCGGCCCAGATGCTGGGCCTGGTCAGTGCCTCTGGAAGGGAATCAGAACCTGAGTTTCCAGAAGGACCCCACCCCAGTCCCCTCCCACCGGCAACAGCCCCGCCCACTCCCAGTTTTCCCAGTGGTGGTGACTTCCTGGGGACCTCGAGGGTGACCCTGGGGCGGTGAAGGGAGGACTCACGCTTCTGGGTGCTGATTCTCCAGCTCAGACACAGCCCTGGGAGGCAGGAACCATGGGTCATGTTGCCCCCCACCCGTACCCCCGGCCTCCATTGCCCTCCCGTACCAGGACTCACCGAGGCAGAGCAAGGCCATGAGCGAAGAGGGCCTGGTACAGATTTGGGCGGGAGGTGCGGCGTGGCCAGCTGGCGAGGAGCACAGGATGTGGCGGGCAAGGCCTTATGCCAGTCACCCCGGGGATTTCACACTGATGTTTTTACAGGCAGGGCCACAGCCCTCCCTCCGCCACCTGACCACGACCGCACGGCAAATCCAACCACACCTGTCTCTGTTACTGGAGAAAATAGGGTTCTTGTCTTGACACGAGAAAGGATTCAGGCGTGAGACAGAGAGTAGTGGGAAGTAAAATAGCAAGGTTTATTAGGGCAGGGAAATCCGTAAGGACAGATGGGCACCTCTCCAGACAGAGCCTGAGAGTGCCCAGTCACTCGGACTGGCGGGGGATAGTGAGGTTACATGGTTGAGTGGAGAGAGTACACCTGGGCAGGCAGTCAGGCGGCTCAGCGGAGATGCAGAGGGCTGAGCACACTGTCCAGTTGAGGCCGGGGGTTTTTAAGGAGATGGGTCTTCACACAGCTCCTCCTGAAACAAAGGATTTTATGGCTGTAAATATTAAGAAGCTCCTATCTGAGTTTTCCCCTGAAGGTATCAGACAGGAGGAAGCCTAGCTGGCGCCATCCTGGTTCAGAGGAAGGGTGAGCAGGACCCCCTAGAGAATGGGGATCCGGAGCAGGGGGTTTGAAATGCAGGTACTGGGCTGCATCTGGGAGATTGTGGAAGATTTGTCAGGCAGAAGGGGCGGGACCTCCACCTGGCAGGTTATCAGGTAGGAGGGGGCAGGCAGGATGCGAAGGCCGGGCTGCCCTGAAACATTATCGGGATGACTTTGAGATGCAGCATATGCTGGACATAGACGTCTTCTCTTTAGGCCTGTCATACACACATAAGCTCCTACCCAACTTCCTACCCAACACAACCACAGTGTCTGTCAGCTTCAACACCACGCTGCTCCCTCCCCAGAGCTCCCGTCCATTGCTGGCCTGGGTAGCCCCTGTTGTCTCTGGGTGCCACAGGGCCGGGTCTGGTGGGTTCATAGTGCATCTGCAGCTGCGGAACAGGGGGATCAGACTGAGGGGCACAGTCATGGGGCAGCCCTGGGAGGTCACCGTGCCATCCACATGCAGGGGAGGCGAGGGAGAGAATGGGGGTTCTGTGACCCCTGCTTTAACGCCTCGCACCCGTGGAGAGATGTGGGACTCTGCACAGCACCGCCCCCCGTCTGGAAATGGGAGCACGGGCTCCATCTCCTTTCTGAGCTACAGAACCTCGAGGACCACAGCCCTCTCCCTGCAGGTGCAGGAGGGAGGGTGGGGACAGGAGGGCGGGTTTTCTGTGCTCCCTGGAAGTGATGGGAAACAAAGCCCAGCCTGTCTGCCCTTACTCGTGCCTCCGGGGCCTGAGCACTCGCCTTGGGGGAGATGAAAGGGCTGGATTTCAGAGACAGCCTTGGGGACTGAGGCAGGGCCGCTCTGGCTCCAGGGGTCGACACCTGGGGTGGGTTTCTTCTCCTGTCCTGTGGCACAGGGACCGGCTCACCCCGAGCTCCCCCAACACAAACTCTCTCCAAACACCGACCACGGAACTCGAGTCAACCCCTTGGCGCTGTGAGGATGAGGCCAAAGTCCCCACGGGGTCTCCCGGGGTGGGGTCCCCTCTGGCTTTTGCGCAAGTTTCTGATTTTTTATTTTTATTTATTTATTTATTTGTTTGTTTGTTTGTTTGTTTTTGACAGGCAGAGTGGACAGTGAGAGAGAGACAGAGAGAAAGGTCTTCCTTTTTGCCGTTGGTTCACCCTCCAATGGCCGCCACAGCTAGTGCGCTGTGGCCAGCGAACCGCGCTGATCCGAAGCTAGGAGCCAGGTACTCCTCCTGGTCTCCCATTAGGTGCAGGGCCCAAGCACTTGGGCCATCCTCCACTGCACTCCTGGGCCACAGCAGAGAGCTGGCCTGGAAGAGGGGCAACCGGGACAGGATCCGGCACCCCGACCAGGACTAGAAACCAGCATGCCAGCCCCGCAAGGTGGAGGATTAGCCTAGTTAGCCGCGGCGGGGTCCCTGATTTTTTATTTTTAAATTCTGAAAATGTGAGAGGCAGAGAGAGAATGAGTGAGCCAGCTCCATCCATTGTGTCACTCCCAGAATGCTCTGATGGCTGGGGTGAACCAGGGCCAATGCCAGGGGCCATGAGCTTTATCCACACCCCCCCACATGGGAGGCAGGAACCCAGCTGCCCAGCCGGAGACCATGGCCCCAGGACCTGCATGAGCAAGGAGCTGGAGCCCAGACGTGCAGCCGAGAATTGAACCCGGGCCTTGCATCGTGGGGCCTTTGCTTCCTCCTGAGGCCGGTTGTTCTCACTGAGGGTTCAGCTGCAGTGGGTTCTGCTCCCCGTGGAGGGGCCCTGTGCCTTTCTGTGGTCTCTCCCAGTCCCCCAGGGGTTGGGTGCCCAGCAGGGGGCAGCTCTCTGGCAGACACTGTGGGTGTGCATGTTCCCACCCCACTAGGTCAGACTCAGCTTCATGCTCTCGTGAAGGCCGTGGGTGTTGGGTTTTCAGTACTTTGCTTCCAGATCTGCAGGTGCAGGCTCCCTGCATGTGGCCGGCTGGGGTGGTGACCGGAGCTTTTCTCTGAGGGCCGAGGGTCCTGACTGCTTTCTCTCTACAGCACCCACTCTCTTTAGTTCTGTGGAGACCTTGGTTCAAAGCCCCCTCCTCAGGGACTTGGGGCAGGGTCTCTGTTTCCTGGGAGGTGCTAAACCCCATCAGGGCCCACCTCCTGGGCAGAGTCTGCCGAGTACCCACGCTCCCACTCCCACTAGAGCCAGAAGGCTCTCAACTAAGCTTTCGTCTCCACCACTGGCTGCTTTATTTCTGTGCCCTTGAGACCAGATACTTATGGAATTGTTTCTAATGTGTCTTGTTGATGTGTGTGCACATGTGTGTGCACATTTGTATGTCTGTGTGCATTTATGTATATGTGTTTCCCAGTGTGCAGGTGTGTGTATGTGTCTGCATCTGTGTGCATGTGTGTATTTCTCTGTATATTCGTGTATGTATCTGCATTTGTGTGTATACACATGTGCATGTGTGCATGTATGTCTGCATTTGTTTGCATGCATGTCTGTTTGCATGTGTGTATGAGTGGGTCTGGGTGTGCATGTGTGTATGCGTCTCTGTGTTCTGTGTGCGCAATCTGTGCTTGTGTGTGCATGTGTGTGCACGCAGGTATTTCTGTGTCCGTGTCTCTGTGCATGGATGTGTGTGTCTGCACATGTGTGCATGCTTGTGTACATGTGTTTATGTGTCTGCATGTGTGTATGTGTGCATGTGTAAATGCATGTATGTGCATGTGTGTCTGTGTCTGCATGTGTGTGCATGCGTGTGTGAGTGTGTTGATGGGCACAGCAGTCCTGTGCACGGCCTGAGCCAGCACTTCCTCTCACGCAGCTCTGTGCCCAGCAGAGGTCAGCACATCATGGCCCAAGGACCACAGGCAGTCTATGGCCTCTCTGTGGATGGCCCATGGTCTGAGCGTGTTTTCACATTTCTGTGTGTCTGAGACGAAATGAAAGAAGGCTATCCCAAGGCCGTGTGGACATGCTGTGACACACAAACATCAGCTCTCACCTTGCTTACTGGGAATCGACCCTGTTCCAGTGTGTGCACAGCTTGTGGTTGCTCTGCTGTTCCCAAGCCCAACTGGCTCAGCTGACCTCCTGGGGGACGGCAGAGGACGTGTGCTGGAATGAGAAGGCCATGCCAAGATGGCCGCTGGCGAAAGAAACTGTCTGGCAACAGGCTGTGATTGGATGGCTTTGGAAACTGCCTGGCAACAGGCTGTGATTGGATGGCTTCAGAAACTGCCTGGCAACAGGCTGTGATTGGTTAGGGCATAGACCGCCCCTTGACTGGATTGGCTGCCTTGGCTATATAAGCTACTGTAGCCACTGAAATAAATGAGTCTGCAGGCTGCTCGCCTCTGGCCTGCTTTCACCCGACTCCCGGGGTCTGTGTGGTGACTCCGCGCCTCTTGCCCCCACCACGCTCCTCCTCCCAGAATCGAATCCACAGCAACAGACGTGAGCTGAGTTTGTGAGGGGGCAAGAAGCCATTCTTGTTGCATCCTTGCCCCAGACCAGGTGCACTCTGCTGCATTCCTACGCTGCTCTGCACACCCCTGCTGTGGACAGGGCCCTGCACAGCCAGCTGTGAGCCTCTGCCGAGGACACAGAGGGGCTGAGAGGCACCTACCTGTGACCATGAGCTCCAGGGCACCACTGGTGGCTGCCACGGTGGCTGTTGCTGTGGATTTGTTCTAAGAGGAGGAGCGTGGTGGGGGCAAGAGGCACAGAGTTACCACACAGACCCCAGGAGTCAGGTGAAAGCAGGACAGAGGCGAGCAGTCCACAGACTCGTTTATTTCAGTTGGTACAGCAGCTTATATAGCCGAGGCAGCCAATCCAGTCAACGGGCAGTTTATGCCCTAACCAATCACATCCTGTTGCCAGGCAGATTCCATTTCCAGGTGGCTTCCAAGGGGGCTTCCGAAGCCATTCCTGAGTAACTGAGGCTCACTTGCCTGTGGCCATCTTGGTATGGCCTTCTCATTCCACCACAGGTGGCGACCGCAGAGATGTTGGGGTTCCCAGGACCAGAGCCAAGGTTCCTCGGGACCCCTTGCATCAGCGCTGTGGCAGGGAGCCATTTCACCCCGGACTCACTGGGACTTTATCAAGAGGATGCTGGAGGAGGAAGAACATGGCAGGGAAATGTTCTGTCCTGACTAACCCCAGAACCTGATCCACAACAGGCAGGGCTTGTCACAGGAGCCTGAAAGAGAAGAGGAGAGGTCAACAAACTTTCTCCTTTTAAAGAAATCGTTGCTTTGATATTCAAAAGTTGTATTTCTGTATAATTGTCATGTAAACATCAAACACACAAACACACAACACACACACGCACACACATGTGGAAGAGCTAACCCAAGCTAGATAACGTGTGCATTACCTCACAGACTTATTGTGTGGTGGGAGCATCTGACACAGTTTTAAGCAATTTCAGCTGCCCATGCCGTGAGCGTTATTAACTACAGTTGCCATGACACACACTACACCTCTAGACCTCTTCTCCCACGTGATTCTGTATCTCTGCACTCTGACCTGTGGATCCCAGCACCCACGCCCTCCCCTGGTGACCACCACTCTGCTCCCCAAGTCCCTCACAGCCCACACTTGAGTGACTTCCCGCGTGGGTTCTCCTCTGTGCCTGGCTTGTTTCACTTCCACAGTGTCTGCAGTGCCTCGGTTTCCTGAAAACATCCGGGTTTCACTCTTCTATGGCCGAGTCTTATTCCACTGTGGGACGCCTTGCTTCGGGCCCCATTTGCCTCGGTTGATGATGACAGCGATGTGAGCTGCACCGCAGGAACGCGGGCGGGCAGGTGTCTAAGGGTCTCCTCTCCCGTAGCTCCTCCCCTGTGCCCGACCTGCGCTAGGAGAAGGCAGCGGTGGGGGTCTGGGCCCCAGGATCCCCTCTCTGTCCCACACTGTTGCGGACAGGTGAGCCAAGGAGCCGCCCATGCGCTCAGGGAGTTGGCACCGTCGAGAAGTAAAACCAGGAAGCGGGCGTGGTACCAAGGGTTCGAGGGGCCAGGTGGGGCTGAAGGAGGAGCTGCCGGGTAGAGAGAAGGTTAATGGTGGACGGACCGGAAATGCCAGACGGGCTCTTCCGGAAACCTGGGAACCTCGGGCGCGAGTCCGGAGACCCCAGCCCCCTCTTAAGGAGACCTACAGTGTTCAAATGTGCTCTTCCAGGAACCCGGGAATCTCGGGCTCGCGTCCGGAGACCCCAGGCCGCTCTTCCATAGACCCAGGAATCCAGAGCGCTCTTCTGGAAGCCCTGCACACCCTCTTCTGGAAACTCAGAGACCCTGCACTTCTCTTCCAGAAACCACAGACGGGCTCCTCCAGAAAGCAGGGGTCCCAGATGCCCCCTTCGATACACGGGCTAGGCTGACCTTGGTTTAGAGCTACAGTGGAGGCACGGCCGGAGCAGGTGCGTTGCGCTCTAGTTCTCAGGTGTCCGTTGCATGTAGACTTCCTTCCACGCAGAAAGTGCCAGGGAAGAAGGAGGACGCTCCCTTGGGAACCAGGTGCCCCAGATCCACAGCAGCCACGCTCATTTAGTGAAATACGCCTTCCCAGGAATCCAGTGTAAGTTCTCTCTTCTACACAGAAGTTGGAAAAGTTGGTCTCATAGTAACAGAGTAGGATGGTGACCACTATCGCTGAAAAGGGTCTCGGGGGAGAGATGAGGGAGGTTTGGTCCCCGGGTCCCAAGCTGGAGTCAGATAGAGGAACGGCTCTGTCTGCACAGCACAGGAGGCACCCATGGCTCACATAACCTGTTGAGTGTTTCTATAAAGAACTCGAGGAGAGGAGCTGGGCCCAAACACAAGACATGACGAGATGGGAAAGCCCTGGTGTGATCAGCACACCCTCAAATACTACGCTGCACCTCCCAAATTATTACGTGTTCATTTAAAGGGAAAAATAGGTGGCAAAAATGGTGTCTGTGTCTTCCTCCTTTGTCGAGCTGAAATTCACAGAGCACAGATTACAGACCTGACAGAAATTTAATTCATGCTGTAGCTACCTCTCACATTCACTGTGTTGTGTACCCACCAGCACCTGTCACAAACATCTTCATTAACAGAGACAGAAACCCCAGACCCACTCAGCAGGCACCTGCATGCTCCCTCCCCACACCCGAGTCCACATTCTGCCCTCTGAATCTGCACCCCCGGGCACCTCTCAGAGCAGAAGCAGACCATGGTCTCTTTGTGACACCGGCTGATTTCTCCACGATTATCCAGACCCTCCTTCTTTTCTAACAGGAGAGTATCAGCCATGTCTACAAATACTGCCTGTTGTGGACGCACTCATCTGGTCTGCATATTCTGGTTGCTGGCATCTTTGGGCTCATGTGAATGAGGCTGCTATGAACCCGTGGATGCAAACACCTTCTTGGGTTCCTGCATCAATCCCTGTGGTTATATGCAGGAGAGGAACTGTTGGATTGGATGGTAATTCCAAGGAACCATGTTTCCTTCTTTAGTGTGCTGAAATTCAAATAACATAAAACCAGCCCTTTAAAGTGTATTATTTGCTGACTTGTAGTACATTACCAATGTTGTACACCATTAACTTTTTAAAAACATATATTTTATTTATTTGAAAGAGTTACAGAGCTAGATACAGACCGAGAGAGAGAGAGAGAGAGAGAGAGAGAGAGAAAGTCTTCCATCTGCTGGTTCACTCCCCAGATGGATTGACCCCGCCCACCCTGAAATCTATTTCGCTCGTTTATTCTGTTACTTGGCGCAAGCTCCCTGTTGTTGGCTGAAACGCGGATTCCCACACATGCGCACTGGGAACTGAATTCACCAGAAACAGAGCAAAAGGCTCCATGAAGAAAGAGCTAAGCGCGAGGCGCACATTTGGTCTGCAGGGGGCGCTCTCGCACCTCAGGGCAGGAGAAGTCCACAGCTGAATAGAGGAAGAGCCCCTGCTGCCCCCAGACAGTTCCCGCAACCGAATGCTGGAAGACTGTTCCCCACTGTGCTCACGCTCCCCCCTGCCCCGCCCCCAGGGCTCGGCCTCTCTGACCCAGCGCTGTCCTCTCTCCAGGTCACTGCCGGCCTGCAGCCCGGGTCCTCTTGTGGCTGTACCAAGCCTCCGCCAGCAGAAGCCCTAGGCCCAGCAGGACCAAGCCCGCCACGCCCATGCGGATGAGGTTCTCCAGGGTGTGGTCCTGGGGCGCTGGGGCTGGGGGTGTGCACGGAGGGGTCACCTAGGCTGGCCAGCCCCAGTCACCCAGGACCCCACCTCCCCGCAGCAGCCTGAGCCCAGGACTGCACATCTTTGTGTCCTAGGGAGTCCCCTCGCCCAGCGTGGGCTTTGTGAGAGGCCTGTGCACCCAGCCCAGTTCCCTTCCCAACACCAGCACCCTGTTCCATCCACTCCACTTCCCACACAAACCCTGTGCCACACAGGGTGACCCGGGCCCCAGGGCTGAGACCTCTGCTGTTTCTCACTCCCTGTGACCTCCCCCAGGTCCCCTCCCCCAGCCCAGTCCTCCTGTGGGGACAGCCCTGCACTGACCATGAGGACTGATGAGACAGGGCTGGGGCCCTCACCTGACACCTCCAGCTGCAGGGGGTCACTGGGAAGTGACCACACACGAGTCTTGTTGGTGTCAGCACGGTAGCACCTGTAGATGCCCCTTTGGGTGCTGTCCACGGGGCCCAGGAGGAAGGTGGCCTGCCACACCCCAGCCCCATGGGAGTATCTGGCTTCCAGGCTGTGCAGGGGGCCGGCTCCACCCTCCTTCAGCAGATGGGCAGTGCCCGCCTCATCTGAACCACAGGAGAGGGACACGTTCTCTCCTGACGCCACCACGGGGCTTGGCTGGGCCGACAGGGAGGGCGCCGGGAACATCCCTGCAGGGGAAGCAAACCAATGTCTGGGGGTCTGCTGCTCCGTGAAGTCCATGTTTCTCCTTCTGTGGGCAGGGGAAAAACCTTACCCGTCACCACCAGGGTCAGGGGGTCACTGGGCTGGGAGTGGCCGAGCGAGGTCCAATACACACAACAGTACTGCCCTGTGTCATGGGAGCTCATGGACGTGATCACGGAGAAGCTGGCCTTGTGTCTGGAGTCCTGCTGGGGCCTCGTTTCCCAGGGATGACGGCCGCTCTCTGTATACATATGATAGACCTCAGCCTGCAGAGACCCCTGGCACCAGAGGGTCACAGGTCTCCCTACGGCGACCAGGGGGCCTGGGTCGGCCCAGATGGAAGGCTTGGGGAGGGTCCCTGGAAAGGAATCAAAGTTGCAGACCCCGGGTGCAGCCTCTCTCCCACCCCATTCCCCAGCTCCACTCCCAGCCCCTCCCAGCCATCACCATCAGCCCAGCCCCCCTGGGCTCCTTAACATGAGCTGTCTGGAGCCCCCGGGGACTGAGCCAGGTCAGGGAGGACTCACCCGCCTGTGCCCCATCCCCTGGCACCCGGCACAGCCCTGGAAGAGAAGTCCCCGTGAGAGCTGCTCCCCACTCCCCACCCCTGCAGAGATGCCCAGGCCTGCCCTGGTCCTCTGAGCCCTGGGGTCCCAGCTGGGGCAGGGCGCTGTCCCCTCCCGCACCTGTAGGGGTCCCATTCTCCCCGTGTCCCCAGCTCACCCAGGCAGAGGAGGGCAGTGAGGGCTGGGGTCTGGGCCCCGCCGCCCATGGTCCCTGTGGAGCAGAGTAGCTGTGAGGGGCGCAGGCCCAGAGTCCGGCTGGAGATGAGTGGGGAGACGTCACGGGTTCCTCATCTGTGGCCTCACAGGAACGGGGGCAGCCCCTCCCCGATCTCCCCCGCTGTCCCTGAGGACGGGGCCCAGGAAGCAGCGGGCACTAGGGACAGCTAGGACCAGGCCTCCGCCTCTGCTGCCCCCTGTACTGTGACTGCCCGGCCTCCCTCCCCTACTCCAGCCCCACCCCTCCAGGAGTCCACTCTCTGTCCAGTTAGGGTTCTGGTTCTCCCTGCACAGGCCGGATGGCCGAGACACGCACTTCCCTTTCCTGAGCGGTTGAGTGCAGTTGTGGGGGCTGGGGCGGGGGAGGGGAGGGGAGGGGGGAGGGCTGGATCCCGTGGGGAGGGTGACAGAATCTTCCAGGCCTCTCAGAGCTGATGAGAGCAGATGAAGAAGGCAGACCCCCCGTGTGGCTGAGCTGCAGCCCATCTGTGTCTGTGGCAGGTGCAGGAGGGCCCACAACAGGGGACACGGGCCTGGGTTGGGGTCCTGCTGGGAGCTGGCGGGCTTGGGTCCCTGCTAGGGGCTTGAGGAGGGAGGGTGTCTTGGAGCACAGGCCCCGAGCTCCTCTGGGAACTGAGAGCATGGGATACCCTGGCCCCGGGCCAGCTGGTGACCCATGCCCCACACCCTGTGCTGGGTTTCTCTGATTGAGGGGGACTTGGAGCAGGGGACTGGGCTCGTGTGGAACCACACTCCACGTGGGGCTGGGGATCCCCGGCACCTGTGTCCTGAGTCCCCCACGGCCTCTCCTCCCCTGATCTGAGCACCTGGGCTCCGTGCTCCTGGATGACATGGGGGTGCCGCTTCCTGTGCGACCTGAACAGGTGACGTCGTCCCCCAGCATCTCTGTGGTGGGGGGATGCCCGAGACCTCCCCTCCTTGGATGGCCGTGGCTGCAGCACTCCGGTCTCAGGGTCCTGCAGTGTCCCTTCCAGATTCAGACGTGGGGACAGCACCGTTCTGGTAGGCACCCCTCCTCAGAAGTCCCTAGGAGCGCCCGCTGACCCCAGAGGTGAATCAGAAGCGGTCCCGGGTCCCAGACAGAATGGAAGACCCCATCCTCAGCCGTGTTTGGGGGTGGAGCTGTCTGCTCTGGGGTGGGGGCCCCACAAGAGAACGCACGGTGGCTCATCACATCCTCGGGTGGCTCAGCACTGACAGGCATCTGTCCTTTCCTTAGCCCTGCGTCTGGTTGAGAGGAAGTCCCCCTCCCAGAAACAGGAGCTGGCAAAGCGTGCATGCAGTGGCGTTCACAGCAGAGACGCAGAAATGCAGCGACCCCCTCTGGCCTCCACAGCCCTGCCCAGACCCAGGGCTCTGTGGGCTTAAAGCCCTGGGTGTTTCTAGGAAGGGTGCTATGTGAGGGCCATTGTGTGTGGCTGTGCCCCTCAGGCCCCACAGCATCCTCACTTCTATGGCTTCCTGGGGCTCAGCAGAGTTCCTACGGAGCCAGAGACCCACCTCCCTGAGCCCCCATCCCCGGTGCACATCTGGCTCCTGTCCCTGGCCGGCCGTGCTTGGATAGGATGCCTGTGTGCACAGTCCCTGGTGGTTGTCACAGGCCTCCCCCTGGCCCTCGGTGGTGAGAACGCTCCACGGAACCTGCACTCAGCACACTGGTGAGCACTGCGCCTGACCCTGACCCTTGCCAGGATGTGGGTCAATGCAGAGCGCCTGACTCCATGCAGGGGGTGGGCTGCTCTGTGCTGTGCCTACACTGGGTCTGGTGCTTTGAGGAACTACTGAGCCTCTTGCCGCAGCTGGCCGAACCCTGCACATTCCAGCCAGCGTCTCAGGGCTGCAATTTCCCCACACTCTGACCACACTCTGCCTACTGTGTCTTCGAGAAGTGACCAGTGAGGTGGCGTGGGGGGTGCCTCTCTCTGGCATTATTTGCACTTCCCTTCCCTTGTGCTGAGTGAGTTGCACCCTTGCTTTTCCTACTGTGGCTTCCAGATCTTCATACAATGTGTTCTTGTCTTTCTGTTCCCTTCGTAGCTGTCCACGGTGCACAGAGTTCTGAAGTTTTGAGGATGATCAATGCAGCCATTTTCCTGTTTGTTCCTCATACTTTCAGAATCACAGCTAAGACGCTGTGATGAAGTCTGAGGTCATATTTACCCAGGTATTTCCTTCTAGGAGTGTTTAAAAATTTTTTGTAAACTCTGATTTATTTATTCGAGAGGTAGGGACAGAGAGGAGAGACAGCAACAGAGATTTGCCACCTTCTGGCTCACTCCCCAGATGGCTGGGCCAGGCTGAAGCCAGGAGCTTCTTTTGGGTCTCCCACGTGGGTGCAGGGCCCCAAGCATTTGGGCCATCCTCTGCTGCCTTCCCAGGGCATTAGCAGGGAGCTGGATCAGAAGTGGGGCAACCGAGATTGGAACTGGTGGTCATATGGGATGCCGGCGCTGCAGGTGTTGGCTTTACTCCCTCAGCTACGCTGTGGTGGGGTGGGGTCCCAGCCCATAACTGGAAACACTGGTGCAGAATCCACAGCGCTCTCTCAAACCCACCTCCCTGAACTCTGTGGGAAACGCAGACTTGCACCACACGGACAAGCAGAGTAACCAGCCACCAGAGGAAGCCGGGCAGGCATCCGCACTCTTCCAGAACACCGGGTGCTGCCGTCCGCCAGAGCCGCCGTGTTGTGGGGTTTACGTTAGTTGTGCATTGAGAAATCCAGATGACCCTTGAACTTCCCGTGCCTGAAGAAACCCTGCACACACTTTCTTTCACTTCTGTGTGGTCCTCTCAGAGGGTGGATTCCCACGGTCATCTGGGATTTTACCTTAGAGTTTGATAAGCCACACGTTTTTAAAAATATTTATTTAAAAATCAGAGTTACAGAGAGAAGGAGAGAGAGAGGTATCCATCTGCTGGTTTCATCCCAATGGGTCCTCACAGCTGGAGCTTGTCTGATCTCCAGCCAGGAGCCAGGAGCCAGGAGCCAGGAGCCAGGAGCCAGGGGCCAGGAGCCAGGAGCCAGGAGCTTCTTCTGGGTCTCCCAGATGGATGCAGGGGCCCAAACTCTTGGGCCATCTTCTACTGCTTTCCCAGGCCACAGCAGAGAGCTGGATTGGACGTGGGGCAGCCAGGACTTGAACTGGCGCCCACAGGGGATGCCGGCACCTCAGGCAGCAGCTTTTATCCATTAAGCCACAGCACCAGCCCAGATCTATTGATTCTGACCTCCCACTTCTGGCCCCACCTGTCATGGCCTCCTTTTGGTGAGCAGAATTTTAAATCCATCTTGAGTGACAGGTGTCCCACCACATCCTGGCCCACTTGCTGAAGGTCAAGGGGAGCAAATCCTGGCGTTACCCTCTCCGTGGGCAGCAGGGCCCGGGCTCCTGTGGAGACTCAGGGCCACTGAGCTGTGTGCGGTCCCTGGAGAGGAACAGGACGGAACTGCACGGGAGCCTGCAGGGCGGTGGGCAGGGCTGCAGGAGGCCGGAGCCCCTTCCCAGAATGCACATGGGAGCCCCGGGGGAAGCAGCACCGCCAGCAGCCCACCAGGGTCCCTGCCCCTGAGCAGGATTCCCCCAACCCCAGGTTAGCTCCGCCCACTTCCCACAGCTTCTCACCATGCATGCCCGGATCCCCCCTCCCCCGCCTCCAGGGCTTGGCCTCTCTGACCCAGCTCTGTCCTCTCTCCAGGTCACCGCCGGCCTAGCAGCCCGGGTCCTTCTGTGGCTGTACCAAGCCTCCGCCAGCAGAAGCCCGAGGCCCAGCAGGACCAAGCCCGCCTCGCCCATGCGGATGAGGTTCTCCAGGGTGTGGTCCTGGGGCGCTGGGGCTGGGGGCTGTGCATGGAGGGGTCACCGAGGCTGGCCAGCCCCAGTGACCCAGGACCCCACCTCCCCGCAGCAGCCTGAGCCCTGGGTCAGGCCTGTAGCTCACTCACCAGTGGGGGAGCCTTGCTGGGGGTGCGAGGGGCTGCTGGGCTCTGGTCCTCCTGAGAACAGGCACAGGACAGTGAGGAGAAGGAGACCCCGGCCTGCTCCGCACTGTGTGCTTCCCAGCCTCTCGTCTCGCGACGCAGTTCAGCGTGGTCCTCGTGTAAGTCGCCCACACATCACTCTGTCTGTGTTCTGGAGCCGCCAGGGAACTCCGCAGGGGAGAGACATGTGGCAGCCAAGCCTGGCGAGCCTCTCCCTACAGGAGCAGGTCCCGGGCCCACCCTGGGCCATGACCAGGCCCCACTAGGCTCGATAGTCTCTGTCCTACTCTAATAGACACCCCGGGGTGTGAGGCCCGTCCTGGGTGGGTCCTGTCCAGTTCTGCAATGCTCGCCCGCTGTGGGAGGCCGGCCTGGGGCTGCCGGCCAGGGCGCTGGGCAGACCCCGTCAGGCCCTCTGCAGGAACCACTGAGGGTCCTGCTGGGTCAGGAGGGAAGAGGGGCGGGGCTGCACACTGGCTCCGCCCACACCCTATCCCTCCTGCCCTGCAGTCCCACCGCCCTCACTCTGGGTGTCTGGCCCAGGAGCCCCATGCCCCTTGCCCAGTTCCCATCTACGCCTCCTCTCAGTGTCTCCGTGACCTACCCAGCTCCTGCTCAGGCTGTGGCTTCCTCACCTGTCACCCCAGCTCCAGGGCGTCACTGGGCTCTGACCACACAGAAGGATTCTCCCTGTAGGAGCCATAGCATTGGAATGCCCACCTGCGACTGGGAGTCACAGGGCCCACAGGGAACAGGGCCTGGGACTGCGCACTAGGGCGTGGCTCTGAGCTCCTGGGTCCTGGCAGCCCAGGGCGCCCCTTCCTCTGTCAGAATGAACCTGTGGAATCCCAGCTGGGAGCGGCACTGGAGGGTCACATTGCCCCCTGAGTTCACCACGGGGCTGGGCAGGGGCGAGAGGCTGGGCTTGCCGTAGGCTCCTGGGAGAGGAGGAGCAGTCATGTGAAGTAGGGCTCACCCCCCACGGTACCCCCAGGGCTGCGCTATGAGAGGGGGACCCCTGGGAGCAGACCCCTCCCTGAGGGCACAGCCTGTGGGGCTGGGACCCTGTGTGACCCTCACCTGACACCCAGCTCCAGGGTGTCACTGGGCTCTGACCAGCCAGCAGCGCTGAGGCAGACACAGCGGTAGCGCCCGCGTACACCTCAGCCATGAGAGGGATGGAGAACTTGACCTTGTTTCTGGGCTCCAGGGGCATCTGTCTGTCCCAGGGCTCTGGGATTCTCTCTCTATACAGACGGCACTCCTGGGCCTCCAGGGTCCCCTGACACCACAGGGCTCCAGGCCTGCCCAGGGTGATCACAGAGCCTGGCTCAGCCCGGAGGCTGGGTCTGGGGAGGGTCCCTGGAAGGAAACCAGAGGCTGGGTCCCAGGACCACGTCCCCTCGCAAGCCAGGACCCTCCCAGACGCCCTCCTCACCAGACAGGGCTGGTCCCCACCCCAGCTGCCCAGGGTGGCCCTTGTCCCATGGAGGGGGGACCAGCACAGTGGGGGCATGCTCACCTGCCTGCACTCGGGTCCTGGGGCCTGCACACAGCCCTGGAGGAGAGCTCCCCGTGAGAGGTTTGCCCCTGTCCCCGTCCTCTCCTCCCCGGGGCTCCTGAGCTTGGGGTCTCCAGGGGCAGGGCCTGGCAGTGGGCAGGGGCGGGGTCCCTCCCAGAGCAGGGTCTCCTCACCCTGTCTTCCAGTCTCCCCAGAGCAGGACCACGAAGGACAGGTTCATGGCGTCTCCTGACCGGCCCCGGCACAGCGCCCACGGCACGGACACACATCAGGTGTGGAAGCTTGGAGGCTGGGTCCTCCCAGAATTGCAGGGCTGTTCCACCCGCAGCCCCACAGGAAGGGAAACCGCACCTCACCCCCAGCCAGGCCCTCAGTCCCCAGGATGGGGGGCACAGGCTCCCTGCAGGGATGGGGGCCCGCCCCCGCCCTGTCAGCGGGCTCCGCCCTCCTCTCCCCAGGGCCAGGACCCAGCATCATGGACACGGGGCCTCCCTAGTGGCCCTCCTAGTGGGCTGACTCCTGCCCCTGGGTGTCTTGTCTCCGCCTTCAGTTGCTGTGCACACAGCATGCAGGATCCCAGCCCCAGGCACATTTCCTGCCAGATGTTTCGCAAGGGCCAACTTCCTTCCTGCCGTGTCCGGGCACCACGTCCCCAGCGGGCACAGGGCGCCTCCATGTGTAGCCGTGTGCCAGGTGTGACATTTCATGGCTGAAACTGACAGGATCCTTCCTGAATTCCCGGGCCCAAGACTCCTGCAGGGAGCTGTGACAAATACTCGGGTGGTGGGGGCTGGCGCTGTGGCGTAGTGCGCTGCCATCCCATATGGGCACAGCTTCCTGGTCCAGAGCTGCTCTTCCGATCCCGCCCCCTGCCATGGCCGGGGAAGCAGTGGAAGGTGACCCCAGTGCTTGGGCCCCGCACCAGAAGCGGCTCCAGGCTCCTGGCTTTGGATCGGCCCAGCTCCGGCCGTTGCAGCCATTTAGGGGGTGAACCAGCGGATGGAAGACCTTCCTCTCTGCCTCTCTCTAACTCTGCCTTCCAAACACATCTTTAACAAAAAAGATTCAGATGGTGGAGAACCCTCCTATGGTTTTGTAGGTTGCTGTGTTGGAGAAAGAGGGGCCTGGATCCACAAGAACAGGTGAGTGTGGGGGAGGGGCTTTCTGGGTGGGGGGGAGTGGCCGCACAAGCCCAGCCGCATCCAGGGATGAGCTGCTCGGAGCCCCAGTGTCCCCGCCTGGCAGGCCTCTCTGGGCTCTCAGGGGCGCTGAGACAGGAGCAGGCAGTGGGCAGTGGGCGGGCTGGGACACAGTCAGCTTGAGGTGGGAGGAGGGTGGGCGGCTGGTCAGCTCCAAGCCATTGGCTATCTGGCCACTTCGGCTAAGCCTGCACAAACAGCTCCCGAGCCACCAGGCCCTGCCTTCCCATGAGGAAACCACAAATTCCACCATGTTGTACATGCATACCTGCGCCAGCTGGAAACACCCAAGAGGGCCGCCTAAAGACACTCCCGGGACGACCATGGGGTCATCCCACGAAATTTCCGTGAGGGGTCCTCCCACTCCCATCATGCACCTCCACTCCCTGACACTTCCTCTTTTTCCCAAACAGAGCCTGGAAATGAGTGGTGCTCAAGCCCCACCCCAAACCCCACCCACTTTGAATATTCAATCAGGCCACACCCCAGAATGAGCACTTTGCCTCTGGCTGGCAGATGAGGCGTGGGGAGGAGGATGGGGCTGGGGACGTTGTTTCTCCCAAGGGCCGTTTGGATGTTGGCAGCATCATTCCGGGCCCGTCCTGCTCATCAGCTTAAAGAATTCCCTGAGTTTGAGTCGCCTGTGGCTGCCGTGGCAGGGCCTGACCACGGGACTTCCTGGTCTCCCGCGGCCTGTAGGTTGCGTGCTCCCCTCCCCTGGATGACCTGGATCGCTGAGGCCCCCATGGAGGGTTTTCTCTATGGCGTGTGTTGTGCCTCTGTACTCACCTCTTTCTCTCGCTCCAGCTGGCCTGATCCTGGGGTGCACTCACGAACCCTGCGTTCCTGCACCCCTCGAGGCCTCCACGTGCATCCTTCCGTGCATAATGGAGGAAGAAGCCGTGAGTCCATTCTGGGGACCCCGCTGCCTGCCCCGCACGGAGCCGCCCATGAGGGGGCCGCCAACACCCCCATTGTTCACGTGGGCACTGGGCGTGGCTGTGGTTGGGTTTGCTATGGGGGCGGGGACACGTGTGTGGGGGCTGCATCACCAGCAACGAGGTGCGGGGACCACCGAGGGCCCTTCTGGGTCAGGAGGGAAGAGGGGCGGGGCTGCACCCTGGCTCTGCCCACACCCTTCTCCCGCCTGCCCTGCAGTCCCACCACCCTCACTCTGGGTGTCTGGCCCAGGAGCCCAGGCCCCGCACCCAATTCCCATCTACACCTCCTCTCAGCGTCCCCGTGACCTACCCAGCTCCTGCTCAGGTGTGGCTTCCTCACTGTCACCCCAGCTCCAGGGCGGCACTGGGCTCTGACCAGCCAGCAGCGCTGAGGCAGACACAGCAGTAGCGCCCTGCGTACACCTCGGCCATGAGAGTGTGGGGAATTGGCCTTGTTTCTGGGCTCCAGGGGCATCGCTCTGTCCCAGGGCTCTGGGATTCCCTCCCTATACAAATGGCACTCCTGGGCCTCCAGGGTCCCCAACACCACAGGGCCCCAGGCCTGCCCAGGGCGATCACAGAGCCTGGCTCAGCCCAGAGGCTGGGTCTGGGGAGGGTCCCTGGAAGGAAACCAGAGGCTGGGTCCCAGGACCACGTTCCCTTGCAGGCCAGGACCCGCCCAGACGCCCTCCTCACCAGACAGGGCTGCTGTCCCCACTCCAACTGCCCGGGGTGGCCCTTGTCCCATGGTGGGGGGGACCCGGCACAGTGGGGGCACACTCACCTACCTGCACTCGGGTCCTGGGCCCGCACAGCCCTGGAGGAGAGCTCCCCGTGAGAGGTTTCCCCTGCCCCTGCGCCCGTCCTCTCCTCCCCGGGGCTCCTGAGCCTGGGGTCTCCAGGGAGCAGGGCCTGGCTGTGGGCGGGGCGGGGTCCCTCCCAGAGCAGGGTCTCCCCTCCCAGTCTTCCAGTCTCCCCAGGCAGAGCAGGACCACGAGGGCGGGGTCATGGCGTCCTCTCCGCCGGCCCCGGCACAGCGACCGCAGCACGGACACACACCGGGTGTGGACGCTCAGAGGCCGGGTCCTCCCAGCATCGCAGGGCTGTTCCGACCACAGCCCACAGGAAGGGGCACCGCCCCCACCCCAGCCAGGCCCTCAGTCCCCAGGATGGGGGCACAGGCGCCCTGCAGGGATGGGGCCCCGCCCCGCCCTGTCAGCCGGCTCCGCCCTCCTCTCCCAGGGCCAGGACCCAGCACCAAGGACACGGGCCTCCCGGAGCCGCCCCTCAGGTGGGCTGATGCGCCCCGGGGTGGGGTCGTCCCCGCCCTCAGCCCCTCCTGTGGGGTCGCAGCCCGGCCACTTCCGGAGGACGCAGGTGGGCACAGCCCCGCTCCCGCCCGGCCCGGAGGTCCCGGGGCCCGACCCAGGGCGGGGGAGGCCCGGACGCCCCCTCCGCCGCGGACGCCGCTCCCACGCCCCTCAGCCACAGCTTCCCCTGACCCGACCACCCCGCTGCGGGGCCCTGAGGCCTCCCAGGACCTGCGCCGCCCCCTCCCTGCCGCCTGCCCTGACTCCCGGGGGAGGCGCCCTCACTGCGTCCCCTCACACACCCCTCTGCCCTGAGCCTCAGCTTCCCCGTGTGGGCGGACACGGACTCACCTGAGGCGGCCTCGCGCACTCGCACACCGACTCTGGACTGCGCAGGCGCATCATGACGCGACTGGGCAGACGCACAGGGACTTTGGAGTGCGCAGGCACTGCCAGCCACGTGATTCGCAGACGCACACCGACAGGTGACTGCGCAGGCGCACACTTACACATGCCTGCAAAGGTGCACACCGACATGCGGCGCTCAGACGCCTCCTGAGGGGACAGTGCTCAGGGTTGCCTCCTTCTCTGTGAAGGAAGAGTGCAGGTCCTTGTAGGAAACGTGAACCCTGACTGCTGCTCTACGCAGCCCTGCAAGTCCTCGCCAGAGCAGGTGGGCGAGAAGAAGCCACAGAAGCGTCCGAATTGGGAAGGAAGAAGCCATGTCGGCTCTTTCCTCATGAGGCCTTCCGACACGGGACTGCGCACACACTTACACAGGACTGCGCAGGCGCAGAACCTCTTGCGGCGCTCAGATGCTGCTGAGGGCGCGGTGGTTGCCGCTGTCTCCGTAGAAGAGTGCGGGTCCTTGTAGGAAACGTGAGCCCTGACTGCTGCTCTGCGCGGCCCTGCAAGTCCTCGCCAGACCAGGTGGGCGAGAAGAAGCCACAGAAGCGTCCGAATTGGGAAGGAGGAAGCCATGTCGGCTCTCTCCTGATGACGTCATCTTACCTAAGACTACCTCTGTTTGCGGATGACGTCATCCTACCTAAAGACAACCCAACGTCTCAACCAGAAACTGCCCTCACTGGTCACCGTCAGGTCGCAGGATCGCGGTCCACACACGAACTCCCGTCAGCGCTCCAAGGGAGATCCACACAGCTCCACTTAGCAGAGCCCAGACCTCCAGCAGCCTGGAGTGCATTCCTCTGCTGCAGGAGGTGAATGCAGAGACCCCGCGTGGGTTCACAGCGCATCTGCGGCTCCGGAACGGGGGCATCAGACCGAGGGGCGCAGTCGGGGGGCGGCCCTGGGAGGTCACCGTGCTGTCCACATGCAGGGGAGACGAGGGAGGGAACGGGGGTTCCGTGTCACCCGCTTTATCGCCTCGCGGCCGTGGAGAGACGTGGGACTCTGCACAGCACCTTCCCCGTCCGGAAAAGGGAGCGCGGGCTCCGTCTCCTTTCTGAGCTACAGAACTGCGAGGACCAAGGCCATCTCCCTGCAGGTGCAGGAGGGAGGGTGGGGGCGGGAAGGCGGGTTTTCTGTGCTCCCTGGAAGTGATGGCGAACAAGGCCCCGCCCACCTGCCCTGGCTTGTGCCCCCAAGGCCCTGAGTGCTCGCCTTGGGGGAGATGACAGTGGCTGGATTTCAGAGACAGCGTCAGGGACCGTGGCAGGGCCGCTCTAGCTCTGGGAGTCCACACCTGAGACTGGGTTTCTTCTCTTGTCCTGGGGCACAGGGACCGGCTCCCCCCACCTCCCCCAACACAAACTCTCTCCAAACACCGACTATCATTATGGAGTCAACCCCTGTGAGGATGAGGCCAATGTCCCCACGGAATCTCCCGGGGTGGCGCGGGGGTCCACCTCTGGTTTCACATGAGATTCTGATCTTCTATTTTTAAATTCTGAAAATTTGGGAGGCTGTGAGAAAGAGTGAGTGTGTGAGTGAGCGAGCTCCATCCACTGGTTCACTCCCCAAATGCCTATCATGGCCGGTTTGAACCAGGGCCAACACCAGGGGCCAGGAGCTCCATCCATGCCCCGACACAGGAGGCAGGAACCCAGCTACCCAACCAAGGACCACGGCTCCAGGACCTGCATGAGCAGGGAGCCGGGCCCAGACCTGCAGCTGAGAATTGAACCCGGGCCTCCCTTTGTATCGTGGGGCCTTTGTTTCCTCCTGAGGTCGGTGTTCTCGCTGAGGGTTCAGCTGCAGTGGGTTCTGCTCCCCATGGAGTGGCCCCAGCTCCCTTTCTGTGGTCTCCCCCAGTACCCCTGGGGGCTGGGTGCCCAGCAGACGGCAGCTCTCTGGTGGATAATGTGGGTTTGCAGGTTCCCCCCCACTTGGTCAGACTCAGCCTCGTGCTCTCGTGAAGGCCATGGGTGTTGATTTTTTTTTTTTTTTGACAGGCAGAGTGGACAGTGAGAGAGACAGAGGAAAAGCTCTTCTTTTGCCGTTGGTTCACCCTCCAATGGCCGCCGCGGCCGGTACGCTGTGGCCGGCGCACCGCGCTGATCCGATGGCAGGAGCCAGGTACTTATCCTGGTCTCCCATGGGGTGCAGGGCCCAAGCACTTGGGCCATCCTCCACTGCATTCCCTGGCCACAGCAGAGAGCTGGCCTGGAAGAGGGGCAACCGGGACAGAATCCGGCGCCCCGACCGGGATTAGAACCTGGTGTGCTGGTGCCGCAAGGTGGAGGATTAGCCTAGTGAGCTGCAGCGCCGGCCCGGGTGTTGGGTTTTCAGGACTTTGCTTCCAGATCTGCAGGTGCAGGCTCCCTGCGTGTGGTTGCTGGGGTCCAGAGACCCCAGTCCCCTCCTCCGGAGACCTGCAGAGTTCAAACGCGCTCTTCCGGAGACCTGGGAATCTCGGGTGCTCTCTGGAGACCCCACACACCAACTTCCGGAAACTGAGAGACCCCACACTTCTCCTCCGGAAACCCGAGGAGTTAGAAGCACTCTTCCAGAAACCCCGCACACCCTCCTTCCAGAAACTCAGAGACCCTGCACTTTTCTTCTGGAAACCGCAGACGCACTCTTCCGGTTAGCAGGGGTGTCAGACACCCCCTCAAGATACATAGGCGGGCAGACATGGGGGTAGAGCTGCAGTGGAGCCTGGGCCTCCCTGGGGTAGAGCTGCAGAGGAGGCTGGGCCAGAGCAGGTGTGTGGCTCTCCACTTCTTAGGCGTGAGTTGTGTTATGCCCAGATAAGTAGCTCCCCAGGAAGCCATCAGCGACCAGATCACACCGAAATGCAAAGGCAAGGTTTATTTTAAAAGTACAAGACATGGCAGGAATTCATCTGGCCAGACGACGCAGCGTAGGTCAGAGGAAGGCCCCGGCCTTTGTTTAGGAGCACTTTTAAAGGAAAAAAACCACAGGGTTACATCAGCCGGGGCTTACAGGACGGGGCTGTTCTGGGTTTTTCTTATTCGGGGGGGGGGGGGTGTCTCCGTTTGGCTTTGGATTCAGGGAGTTACCTCATTTGGTAATCTCTACTGAGCTGCCTTTGGTCTGCTGAGCTGTCCTTGGTAACTTTTGATATCCCCGGAATGCCTGAATGCCTGCTTTTACAAGGACTCGGGTCTGCTATGGGAAATGGAGGCTCCTTTTTATTTAATTTTCTGTAAATGGAGTCACTTTGGTTCTTCAGGTTGCACGTAGTCTTCCTTCCACGCAGAAAGTGCTGGGGAGGAAGGGTGAGGCACCCTTGGGAACCAGGTGCCCCAGATCCGCAGCAGCAGCCACGCTCGTAGATCCTCTGGGTCCCTGCTGGGCTGTGCTGGGGACAGCTCTTTCCTCCCATCTTCTATGTAGTGACCCATCACCCAGTCCTGTCACACAGCTTCCCAGGGCGGGGCGTCCTTGAAAGTCTGTGTCCATGTTCCTCAAAACTGTCATCAAAGTCATCACCAACAAGGGAATCGGAGAGTCTAAAGAGACAGAGAGAACCAGAGGTAGTGTGAGATCTTAGAGAAGATAAAGGATTAGCTTCCAACTCAGGAAATCTAAATAAACCATGGACTAGTTGAGCTAAGGGAGCTGGGAAGAAATG